TACGGAATATTTGAAAATAGAAGATTGGTGATGACGTCATGTTATTCTGACCGGATCGCAGCCATATCCAGGTCTTTGAGAGGGTATGTACGGAATATTTGAAAAGAAAGTACTGACGTGTATGGAATACGGAAGTGACGATATAAACATAAGATTGTCATTGAGTTTAAGGATATTGGCTGTGTACATTCTGACAGGATATTTCTAGTAAAGAATCCATTGTGAGTTTTGAAATGAAATGAAATGGAGATTTAACGTCCTACTTTTCTGCACCAACTGGGATAATGAAGGCGGACATTGTTGTGAGTTGTGTGATATTTGAACATAAATTGTTCCCATGAATATAAATGTTTGTTCGATGCGGGATGTCAAAGGACATTGTGTCTACAAAGTCAGGTGATTCTTCGGTTTGGGGGGGGGGGGAGGCGAATGGTTAGCACGTGCGCGCTGTATCACAAGGTCTATCATTCGATTCTCCGTTGTACGTGACAAGGAGTAGGGTCGCCTGCCCAACCTCGTGGTTTTTCTCCGGGTACTCCGGTTTCCTCCCACTGCTAAAGACCCCTATGCACAAGCAAATTATTGAAATAAAATTAAACCATATGTTAGTCCCGAAATGATGTAGTTTCTCTCTCTCTTTGGTTAGGGAGTGGAATAACAAGTAGAATGTCACGTGTTGGAATCCCGGAGAGGTCCGAGGAGATCCTTCGTATCTATACCAGGTGTAACGTCTGTTGGATAAACACGGATACACCGTGCCCAAGTTAGTAATGCACGTAAACTATCCCTTTGCAGTTGGAATTCGAAGAAGGTTGGTGAAAAGGGTGCGGTTTAAGCCAAATTCTCTCTCGATTAAAATCTAAATACACTAACGAGAGAAAGAATCTGTATTTAAATTTATAACATAAAATAATTATTTGTATTTAGATTGTAAAAGTTATGGACTAATTCTGTATATAAATTGTTCCCATGAATATGTATATAATGTGAACGGGATCTCGGTTATCATACCCTCCGAAGGACTAGATGTTATCCCTGGCTGCACCACTGCCTTGGCGAAATGTATATTTGTATATAATCATCATGTGCTATAATATGTTGACTGTGATAATATATTGATTGATTGATTGATTTTATAAAATTGAACAAATAAAATATTAATTTTGTATAAAAGACATTTCTTTATTTTATCAAACCGTAAAATACTTGAGTCTTGGGGGACATGGATATCTGATAGCCGTGATCCTACAGATGACAAGGGTCGGGGAGTAAAATACTTGAGTCTTGGGGGGAAAGGATATCTGATTCTACAGATGACAAGGGTCGGGGAGTGAAAACAGGAATTTAAGGAATTATTCTGAACAAGAAACTGGTTTTACTGGTAATCATCTTCTTCTTGCTCCGCCATTTTGAGTACGGTGAACATGAAACTTGGCATGCTTGTTTCTGCGATAATTTATATTATGATGTCCCCTATTACAAATTGACTGCGATGTCCCCTATTCCAACTTGACTACGATGTGACTATTCCAAATTGACTGCGATGTCGCTATTACAAATTGACTGCGATGTGGCCATGCCAGGATGACTCAATGTCGGTCTGTGGTCTACATAGTCGTCTTGTGCTTGTTTATGTTGGGGGTGGGGGTGGAGGTAACAAGTTAAATGTAGGCCTATGTATATCAACCCAACACTTTTCCCAGATCTTAAAACTTTAATGAGTTTAAGACACAAGATAAAAGTATGGATAACTTCCATGATTACAGAAGAAGAATGGGAGGAGTATTGTATATTTGAGTTGTCAATCGGTGTCATCCACGAGTTTATAGTTCAACCATATTTGGTATGGATTGTAAAGAAGAATGGGAGAAGTATACTATACTGTTTGAGCTGTGATTGGATCATCTTACGTCACCTACTTACCTTATACTTACCATCCAATAAAACCCCGTATATTGTTCATACTTATTACGTCATTATTGAGGCGGGTTTATCAAACACCGGGTTATTAAAGCATTTTAACGTTTTATCAATCATCTAATCTAAAGTGGCTATAAATAGACGGAGAGAACGTTTCCCTTTGTCAGTGATGCAGGACGGAGGGCCTGACAAGGACAGCTGTCTAGTCGTTCGGATGGGACGAAAAACCGAGGTCCCGTGTATACATTAGCGTGCACGTAAAAGATCCCTTGGCAGTTGGAATTCGATATAAGAGTAGGCCATAGTGCCGCTTCCTAGGCAAAATTTAATTCATAGCACGTTGTGTGGCGTGTGCCCATCTTCATTAGCCCAGTATAGGAACAGAACAGTAGGACGTTAAACCCCATTTCATTTCATTTTATTTATCTATAAATAGATGGAGAGAAATGGGGTTTAACGTCCACCCGACATAATCTAGGTCATTCGCGACTAACATCTGGTTCAATTTTATTTCAATAATTAGATTGAGTGTAAGGGTTAACAATGGGGGTGGAGGACCAGGAAAAAACGTGAGTTGAAACAAACGACCCTACTCCTTGTCACGTACAAGTCGGGGGTCGAAACCACGGCAATTGACTCAATGGCAGACCTTAAAGGAGCTAAATTTGTATTCTTTGGCAACTAGAAATGAACACAAATGGGTAACAACGCATATAATTAATGTATTGTGAATGTATATAAACTGATTTACAATCACTAGTTTTATTCTAAAAACACAACGTTTCGACAAGTATCCTCGCATCGTTATCAAGCACAATAAATCATCGTTTATATCGGCTGGTAAACATCGAATCACGTTTATTTGTATGAACCTAATATTGCATAACGAGATTACCCATTGACTTACTATGTTATAAACCCGGTCAGTTTATTATACAGCTTACGTCATTATTCCGCTACTTAACTTGACTGTAAACAACAGTGACTGTAAAGAATTGGGTGTTATATGGGTTATCACCGTTTTAAGCTCGCCGACCGATTTGCTTTGACGGATAATATTAAAAGGTTATGGTTCGTTTCCTATCACTTAAATCGAAACGGGCAACTATATATATTATGAGAAATGGCGGTTGGGTGACCGAATGGTTTACGTTGAGTGGACTTGAAGCCACTTCTCATATTTGAAATGGCGTACGATGGGCGTCGAGCGTAAATACTTTATGACGTAGTTTCACGGACATGAATCGTATCATCCCAAACTTAGGCTGCCTATCTACAGCTAGCTCCGGCTGGGAAGTATGACGTAGATGGGTCGCTGCGTGCAGTATGGAATCGGATGTATATCAGGCCCACTGATCTATATATATTAGGCCCCAAGTTCACAAAGCATTCTCAGACTTAAGTTAAGATTTTACTCAAGTTGTTTGTCTTATTTTAACTAAAATATATCCTATTATAAAACTTGTGTTATTTTAATGTATAAAATACATCAATAAGAAAATATGTGCAAAGTTTTGTGTTTCTGAATCAAAGATATTTCTCATAAACAGTGATTGAAAGTTGAGTAAATTCTTAACTTAAGTCTGAGAATGCGTTGTGAACTTGGGGCCTAGACTTTTTAGCTACGAGCTGTAATGTACCCGATCAAGTTGTTTAAATCGTATTTATCATTTGCTTAAAAAAGGGGAGCCTAAATTGGTAAGATGTTGGCTTGCTAGCTTGGAGGTCACAGGTTTCATCCAAGTGGTGCTCAAGAAAGTTCATAGTTATTAACCCCTTGTCAGTGGTGCAGGAAGGAGGGCCTGACAAGTACTGACGTTCGGATGAGACAAAAAAACCCGAGGTCCCGTGTACATATTTGCGTGCGCTTAAAAGATTCCTTGGTAGTTGGAATTCGATATAAGTGTAGGCCGTAATACTGCTGTCAGGGCAAAATTTCCCTCATAGCACACTGTATGGCGTATGCCCGTCTTCATTAGCCCAGTTGGAGCAGAACAGTAAGACGTTAAACCCCATTTCATTTCATTTTGCTTAATAAAGACTGGTGAATCCTTGATAAAAGACTGGTTAATCATTGACAAAATGTCGCTCAGTATTAAACACTAAAACACATCTGTGCAGCCATCCCAGAACATCAAAATATTATTGGACAAAAGGTCATCATCTCTATCATTGACACATTGGTCTATTTTTGTTTGCAAGAAGCCAATTTCAAGCAGTTCAGTTCCAAGTCTTCAGTAAGTGAGTTTGTTGTTGTTCTTAGTGTTTAATGTCCTCTTCCACCCAAGGTGATATCGCAGACATGTCTTATTTTCATTTTTATTGTATTAGCACACGCATAGGGGTCTTTCTTGTGGGAGGAAACCCACGAGATTAAGAAGGCGCCCCTATCTCCAAGCCACATACGCTCATACAATGGATTCAAACCACGACCGCAAGCCAGAGATGACCAGCTAGCTAGAACTCAAAGAGCGACACTCAAGACCACTAAGATTTCCATAGCTAGTATAATTTGGAACTTGTCCGGACATGCATTCTTAAGTCTACAATGGGACTGAGTATTCAACTGTTATTTAGCAATTGTGATGTCAGGTTTTATGATCGGGTGTTATAAAAATAACTAGATACATTTATCTTTACTAAGTTTTTCATTTGCCATATAGATCGCTGAAAACTGTCCGGGCCTCTTTAAAAAGGGCCACTTTATGGAACATTTGACCAATTTCCCCAAATTGAACCCCATACTAGAAAGGAGAGAGAGAGAGAGAAATGGGGTTTAACTCCACTCGACACAAACTAGGTCAATTCGGGACTAACGCATGGTCAATTTAATTTCAATAATTCGCTTGCGCATAGGGGTCTAGCAGTGGGAGAAAATCGGAGGACCCGAAGAAAACCCTTGAGGTTGGACTGGCGACCCTACTCCCCGTCATGTACAACCGGGTAATCGAAATCACATCAGTTTACTCAATGACAGACTTTATGATACAGCTTAACCATTTGGTCCTATTTGGAAGGGATTCTACAGCCACAAAATCAGATATCGGCTGAAAAAAAATATCAAATTAAACAAAAAGTAATCATTTGTCAAAAATTTTATTATTACACTTCTTGCAATAAATATAAATCTGAAAACAGTTTGTTGCTTTCCTTAATTTTTTTTTAACAGTCTAATTGTCTCCCTTAGACCATAAAACTACATTTATAGTAAGGTTATCTCCCCTTAGACCATAAACCAGTTTTTCAATGATAAGGGAGCAAACATATAAAATACAAAAAAAAAGTGAAAATACCTACAAACATTTATCTACACACCTGAGAATATAAAAATAGACAATTTTTGATATTCCCAGTTTTTTAAGACTTGATAGACATTTTTCAATAAAGCCCCAGCTTTTTAAATTAATAACCACAAAAATATGTCACAGTATACACAACAATTGGGTAATATTGCTTTAAGTACATTTTGTAGTGCGAGTTATCTTTCCTTTAAAAAAAAAAAAAAATACTTCAATAATTTCCTTCAATAAAACCTGGTCTAACAAAATCAGTAATTAAATTTTGTTCTATGGAAGAAGATATCTAGCAAAATAATTTTAATTCATAAACGAAATCAAATAAAAAAATCACTAGCAAACATTATTTTGGTAGATATTCTCCTCCATAAAACACAGTAAAAATTTTACTTTCTTATTAAAACTGATATACATAGAATTAATCAATTCCTTATCGTGTTGTCATCATCATAGACAATTCAAACGGACTAGATAACAAAGACTTTCAGAACAATTAAGTCTTGATTAATGAGTCTTAATTGCTCTACGTATAATTAATAATACATGTAAATGTTTGTTTTTTGGGGTAATCAATTCCTGATATTATAGTCAACTCTATTTATTTGTCATCATCTCTATTTTCTACTTGTATTTTAAAACAATGTTTAAAAGTAAATCTACTGGCCACCCAGACAATTCAAATGGACTAGACAACGAAGACTTTGGAAACAATTAAGACTTGATTATTGAGTCCCAACGCAGAACTCAAATGTGAAGAATACCCAGTGCATATAAATCCCATTGTTAAACCATATATAGACTACAAATAAAGGAAAGACAACTCTCTTGTTTTGCATGTTCATTTAATTTAATGTTTTTAATACATTCGATATCAAGACAATTAAAAAAAAAAACATCTATATGTGCAATGAAAATGAGAGAAAAATAAAATGAAAATATTTAATTTATACAAAATGTTATTTTCTGCCCTGAGATTAAACTGGTTTGTAAAGTTGAGTTGTTTTTTTTTTATAAAGTTACAAGCAAATATACAAGGTGAAGGTCGATGAGTACGGAGGAGGAACAACCTACGTACATTCAAATATTTTAATATTTATATTCATATTATGTTTTAATTTATGTACAAATTGTCTATCATATATCTACAGTATCGTACAGACTAAATTACTGGGGGGGGGGGGGGGGGGGGGAGAGACATATTTCTCGTATACCATGATCAGTCAATCAATAATAGTTATTTCACTTACACTTCTAATGTACTACACTAAGGGGAATAACTCTCAATGGATCGACTCTTTCAACTTTTGAATTGCTGAATTGATTTTCGAATTAACTATAAGTTAATAGAAAATAAATTTGATTATTATATCAATTAACAATTCTATAAGTAACTTGATTTAAAATTGAAAAGGTTTACGAGAAATAGCCTCTTTGTTTTGCTAGGTTTCATAGGTGCATAGGTTTTTGCGAAATGCGGCACATTTTACTGCACACGACAATCAGTTGAGGTAATCAGAATTATTAAAAGAAAACATTTTGCATGTGGATTGCATTTTGCATGTTCATGCATGAATACTGGGAGGGTTTAACAGACATGTACATTAAAAAAAAAAACTAAAGTTTGTATTTTTCTATATTCATTACGGAATGTCCTAAGCTGATTATGACTATCAAGTCATTTTTCTCAAAATTCTTTTAAAAAAAATTTGCTAAAAAATAAATTCTCATAAATGGGAAATTTATAAAGTCTTGTTTATTATAAAACATGTATAAAATAGGTCAGTTCCCACAATTTATCAAAAAGCCAGTTTATACGGAGTAACGCAAAAGGACAACTGGATAGAATATCGTACAAGCTATAGGTCTATTTATATGTACAGAAGATAAGCAGATCAATAATTAATAATCGATTTTAAAAAACAAATTAATCGGTGGGTTTATTTTTATTTATTCCATCTACTGTCTTTACACATTATTTTACTACACTGTAAATTAGATCTAAACATGTCGATTTCAGACCTTAAATAATTCATTTATAGTTTCAGATTTCATTTGTTGCATGCTGAACAATTTAAATATTATCAGGCATTATTCAGATGCTGTTGATATCTGATTTTAATAAAATAACCATGTTTTGGAATCATTTTCTGTTTTAAAGAAACTTTTGACATTTTCAAATCAATATGTCTCTTAAACAAATACCCTTGAATCAGAATAATCTTGAAACACTATTCCAATTTGAATAAAGGAATTATCGATTATTAATGTATTGTCTATCTTGGCTAACTATGTGTAGAGAAACATTATATACATTAATTATAGGATTTAACTAATTTCTAATGCATACCCTTAAATTACAAATTTCCGACCAAACAATGAAGAATTCTATACATAATCAGCACAACCATGAAAAATGATGAAATAAATTACTAGTATGATAACGAGATGAATAGGGGGGTGATTAATTGTATCTATACATGTATGCAAGGGGGGAGGGGGGGGGGAGCAGTGGGGGAAACGGATCAGGGAGGGGGAATCCATTTGTCAAGATCCCACCACTATCATTTTATTTAACCCATAAAAAATAACTTATTTACAAGAAATATTAAATTTGTTTGTCGGTCATATATTCTATTATTGATAAATGTCATTCAAACATATAATGAGTTTTATATATACAATATGATTGGATGAATTAGTTTCTATGGTGACCAGGCATTATGGGATATAAATCCCAAGATATCATGGGAGTAAACAAGAGACAGTTGGAATGTCTATATTATTTTCGTCACTAGTTTCCAAATTAGGAAATATAATTCGATTTGTGAAATATCAATGTATCTGAGGTTGTAACAATATTTTACCTTCTTAAAAAATAAGTGACGTTTCTTATGATTATTAAGATTACACTGGTCTGGATAATCCAGTATACCATTCGTCTGGATAATCCAGTATATCATTCGTGCCAATTATCGTTATTCAAATTACAGAATTAATCTTGATAATCCTTTATTTCATTCCTTCTAATTTAATTACGATTTTAAATAGCACATTTTTTCCACAGCACAAAGAATTCCACACAAACCAACCATTGAATTGTCATAGTTCGCACACAAGTACTTTAAAATTACGCAATCTAACACAAGATTCTCATGTTTTTATCAGAATACACATAGGGCCACGGTAGAGGACAGGAAAGTCTCTATCCACCATTACTAAAGTCTTTCACTATTGAGATTTCATCAGTCTTAAAGAATTCCTACGATGTCGACGACACTTGACTAATTTGACACTTGTAACGAATCGGTCAACGACTCACGACTCATCCGCAGATTCTGATTTCTCTGTTTCGGCACCTTTTGCACTGGACAGATCGAGACTATCACTCGGAGAAGATTCCGGTTTTGTTGGTGTAGTATTTTGCGACTCTTCTTTAGGATTATCGCACTTTTTCTTCTCTTTATCTTCGATATTTTGAACTTTTTCTTTCAGTGAGTCAACAATTTTACTGAGTTTCAAAGAACTGAAGATTTTTTTGTTTGATTTACCAGATCGACTGCTCGACCCTGGCGTACCCGTTACAATAGATGCTTTGTCCGATATGGCTGGAGATGACCGAGACGACTGAGGTGTTTTGGAAGATGTCACTGAGGAGGAGTTCAAACTATGATCGCTTTCACGATCTCGAGATCGATCTTTCTCTCGTTCCCGTTCCCGAACCCGATTTTCACTAGATTTATGACTGCTGTCCCGCGACGAACTATTCGTACTATTATGACGACCAGAACTATTAGACCTGGCTTTCATAGAGAGATCAGTCGCTTCCATTTGTTCGAGTTTTTCACAACGACGTTCGTGTTCTGACTGAGAAACTTTCCTCACAGAATGACTGTCTGGTTTTCGTGGAGTTTTCTTTTTCACGGATAAATCCTGCACTTCGTCATTATGGGACATTTTTTCCTTTAGTTCTCTCGCTTTCAATTTTAGTTTTTCTTCCCGGTGTCGACGTTCATTTTTCTTATCGTCATCAGATTCCGATTCTGTCCGCCCATTTGCCATATATGGATTAGCCAATGATGCGAAAGACGTAGGTAGTCCGGCTGGTAAGGGGAAGTTACCCATACCTTGTGCCAATAAGGGGTTATATAACAGGGGGTTGAAGTACAATGGGAAAGATGGATGAGGTGACGAGGTCGACGAAGAACTGGGTTTTTCACTTGATTTTCGGTCCTTTTCTCGATCTTTCGAACGTTCTCCTCCGTCCTCACGTCTGCGTTTATCTTCTTTTGGTCGATCTTTCTTATCCTCTTTTTCGATTTCTCCGTGTTCGAGTTCACCGCTGCCGAACGCTCCCATGTTCATACCTGGGAATCCCATACCAGCCAATGAAGCAAACATCGGATTAGCCAGACCCATATTAGACATGGCGCCAAACGGCATGTTCATCCCCAGTTTATGGAAATTACCCATGAGGCCTGGGTATCCAGCGAGTCCAGCCATACCAGCAAACGGATATTCGCCACTCAGCAATGCCGGGTTTAACATTGGATCTTTCGGTTTTCTACCTCGATTTGATGGTTTCAATAATCGAGAATCCATACTTTTGGGCAGATTAGCCTAAAAAAAAAAAAAAAAAATAATTTCCATGGCAACACAATCCATTTGCAGAAAATTGTCCTAATTGAAATGCATCTGATTTGAAAGAATCTTGTATTTAAAGCCAGATGCAAGTATAAATTATTGAAGTCTGGTAGCAAAATACTAACACATGAAAATGGTGTTTAACATCCTTCTCATCTGCACCAACTGGGATAATGAAGATGGGTCTTACACCGTGTAGTGTGCCAGATAACAGCAGTAATACAGCCTACTCTTACTTCTAATTCCAACTGCTAAGGGTTCTCTTACTTGCACGGCAATGTGTACACGGACGTTTTGTTTTTTGGTCCTATCTGAATGACAAGGCTCTGTTCCCCCCGAGACTAACATGTTGTATTTAATGGTCATGTGTACCTGGAAGTTTAATGTCCACTCTACACTAACTAGGGGGAGAGAGAGAAATGGGGTTTAACGTCCACTCGACACTAACTAGGGGAGAGAGAGAAATGGGGTTTAACGTCCACTCAACACTAACTAGGGGGAGAGAGAGAAATGGGGTTTAACGTCCACTCGACACTAACTAGGGGAGAGAGAGAAATGGGGTTTAACGTCCACTCAACACTAACTAGGGGGAGAGAGAGAAATGGGGTTTAACGTCCACTCGACACTAACTAGGGGGAGAGAGAGAAATGGGGTTTAACGTCCACTCGACACTAACTAGGGGGAGAGAGAGAAATGGGGTTTAACGTCCACTCGACACTAACTAGGGGGAGAGAGAGAAATGGGGTTTAATGTCCACTCAACACTAACTAGGGGGAGAGAGAGAAATGGGGTTTAACGTCCACTCGACACTAACTAGGGGGAGAGAGAGAAATGGGGTTTAACGTCAACTCGACACTAACTAGGTCATACAAGTTCTGAACAGCCACTAACCACCTAAACCAAAATTTTATTTCAAGTCTGATCGATATTTATGTCATCGAAATAACCCACCTTCGCTCGTACAATTTCTCCCCATTTAGAATCTACATCATAACCAGGATTCTGTTCCAACCATTCCGATAAATGTTTTAACGGTGGTGCCTTGGCTCCAGTCATCTGGAAATAAATAACATTTATAGATTACTAACTTCACACGATTTATAAACGTTGTTCCTCTCCTTATAAAACATCTTCCCAGAAAATTTGAAAATTAAAAGAGACGTTATTTGTTGGTTAGATGTTATTTTTCTACAGGTTAAAATTATGTTTGTTTAAGATGGAGTAGACCCCGAGTTAATATTAAAAGATATATATTATTTCAATGAAAATAAATATGGCAAGATATGTGCTTGTTGCTAAGCAACATCCATATTATTCTTTGTCTAATTTATAACATCATTTCATTCTGTTTTACAACTTCAATTCATCTTGGTCTAAAGATATTTCTTTACAATACATAGACTGTGATTGGTCCACTCCGAAACAATCTACCAATCAAAAGCAGTGATACAAACAAGCTCCATAAAGGCTTTCATTATCAAGACATTTGATTGGCTGTTTAATCAGAGTCAAAGGTCAACAGTTCATAACAGAGTGACCAATCAAATAAATTGAATGAAAATAGATTTTGTGAAAGCTCTTGAATTGGACAAGCCATAGTGAGGTATATTGGTAAATACAGCCAGAGTTAATGAGCACCACCAAGCATACAGGAAATCTTTAATATTAATTAAAAATATCAAATTTGGACAGGGTAATTTCAAACTTGCAATAAATAGTACATTCCAAAACCAATCAAAACTAGACAGAAAGAAAGAAACAAACATTTGTTTGATTTTCAATTCGTAGAAGAGGATAATTTCATATCAATATAAGTTCCATTCTGAATTAAACAATAAATATTATCATACAACTGTCAAACTACATGCATACAATCATTTTATGACACAGGCAAAACACTGATTCAAATACACATCTATATTTCGTTTCTTTTTATACTTGCGATGGTCTACGCTACATTAAGATCTGACTGGATGTAGTGGAAAATCGCATCAGAGTTCATATGAGAGGCTTTTGACCCTATGACGTCAGTTATTTGATTAACCAATCAGCGTTGACGTTTCTAGTGGTTAACCCACAGTTCCGTGCACCTCACGCCAAAAACTCGCTGTAACAGACCGTTTCATTAGCTAATGCCTCACTTCAACTAGAACGCTGGTAATATAACAACTCTTCTAGAGCCTAGTGTAGTAAAGACAAGTAAAATGAAATTTTGAACTATGAAAAACGAAACGAAATAGGATCTGTGTTTGAATCAGATTGGCAAAAAGTCGACATGTTTAATAGTGGATGGATCACAACATTTCAACACAAGACAGAGATAAACAGAGCAGACAGAATAAAGGAGTCGTAAATAGAAAAAAAGTTTATAAAATCCACCAGTAAGACTTCAAGTTGTGGCCCTTCACGATTTCGTTTTCTCTACCATCATTTTATTTATTCATCCCTCACCTTTTTCCCTGTCTCTCTCTCTACCACGGTGACGTTTTCCTCGCCTGTTACGTGTGCGAGATCCATGAGACGGGGATCAAGCCTAGCTCGTCTTTTACCACTGCTCCTCATTAAAAGTTTCTCCTGTAAAAGTTTGGGACAAGACTTTGTCTAGAGCTCGATATATAAATATAAATAAAACATGCAGCCCACAGCACATCAATATCCAAACAACATCTTTATAATCTATTACACAATTCTACACTTTCTAGAACATCTAGTAACACTTGGGGGAGATCACACAGCTAACAATTTGTTCTAATTTCATCAATAACTTTCGTTAAATGTGCGATAAAAGTTTTATGATCATGCATGTCTTTTTATTAAACTACAGCTATTATCCCAAATTTTTTTTCCTAGCAATAAACAGAATTGTTACGTCTATCTATGGAAGGTAACTTTTATGACTTATTTCCTTCGTAACAAGGTATACAAAACGCCATTTAGAATAAGAGTAAGAAAATGGTTCATCAAGGTTTATATAAAGCAAATTTTATAAGCGTTAAAAATAATAAGTGAATTGTTGATAAGATATAAAGATGTTGTAAAGATGAAGAAAGAAAAGTTTCATGCCTCAACAGTAGCTAAAGCACAAGACCAAAAAAACAGGTATCAGTAGTAGGTACTATAAACCAATCATTTAGTAAGTTATCAGTTATTGATCTATATATATACTTACCTGTATATCAGAGAGAGCAAGGTAAAGATAATTAGACATTATTAATATATAATATAGAATACACAATCTCTATATACAAGATCAGTTAAACATACATTATGTAAGACCTAAATCTGTCTATTGCACGTCTTTCTTTAGGTCTGAAATGTCATCTAAATTATTAGACATTAATAAACTTATCCAGGCCATAATCAACTCTCAATGGCATCAGATTTCTTCGATATTAAATAGATTAGAACAGTTCAGCCATATTTTGATATAAGCTAAAAATGGAGGAGCGAGTCTTAGCTTCGAAAAACCAGAAGGGTGGTTGAAATTCTTGCACAGTCAAGCCAAACCTTCAAAGGCTAATATCTTCGCTCACAATAGAGTAATTTGAATGAAATTTTCAAATTATTCATTTTACATTATCTAGTTTTGAACTATTATAGCAAGAATGGCTAGTTCTTTATCTAAATCTTACATAATGTATCTCTAATATTAGTGCTCACATACAATACAGAATTTACCATTCAAATAATCTGAATAATTACTCAAACACTTGATTCAATTAAAATAATAAATATTTTGACCATTTGCGATTCATTTTCATAATTCTAGATACCAGAAAATCTTTTAAATAAATATATCTCTTTTAATCGCCGTTGGTTTCATTGAATTATTATTAGTAAATACTTCATAGTAGACAATTCCATTAGATTTTTATTGACAAACAATAGTAAATAGTCTGAGAGAGAGAGAGAGAGAGAGAGAGAGAGATGGGGTTTAACATCCACTCAACACAAACTAGGTCATTTCGGGACTAACATATGGTTCAATTCTATTTCAATAATTTGCTTGCGCGTAGGGGTCTTTAGCAGTAGGACCTGGAGAAAAGAGAGAGAGAGAGAGAAATGGGGTTTAACGTCCACTCAACACAAACTAGGTCATTTCCGGACTAATAATATGGTTCAATTCTATTTCAATAAATTGCATTTGTATGAGCATTAAGTTAATATATTCACCATTAAATTAAACGATTACTTTATACATCAAGCCATATTTCATGTTAAATCAGTGTTAAAGGATTAATTTATAGGTCAAGCCTTGTTTTTATGTTAAAACAGTATTTTTTCTATATACCAATCTTTAAAAATAATACGATTTTCCCCACTTTTAAGTCTGTAAAGAGTTTCTGCTGTGTTGGTTCAGTTTAAATGGCCCTTAATCAAAGGTGATCAGTTTTAATTATATTTGATTGGGTTTTTTTTGTTGCATATTTTGTATAGATTTTTCTACTATTCACATTTCTGTATGATTTACTTGATAGAGACGAGAGTATCCTTGTCGAAACGTCGCAAAGTATTAAACTCAGTAATTGTGTATCCATATAAGGTTGTTAATGTCAACCTACGATGTTTAGTTCATGGATAACTTTATACGTCAAGCCTTGTGTTTATGTTAAATAAGTAATTTTTATACATGTAGGTTTCAACTTACCATGTTTAGTTCATGTTCAGCTCGTTGTTGTTCTTCCTCGTCTCCTCCCATTCCGGCACCTAATATAGCCAGATCGGGTTGTTCAACTACGTAACCAGGGTGATCCATTAACCACTGTTCTAAATTCTTCTTCTTTGGTGCTTCTTCTCCTGACAGTCGACTCCCATCTTCTAGACTTATCACAGGAATACGTAAATCTGAAAATTAAAACGAGTTGATTTTTTTTCAGATCGGAAAAATTCATAAAAAGAATTTGCATCTGGACATATAGGAAGCATCAATAGAACATACCAGTAAATTAGGGTGACACAGCATGTGTCAACTGTATATATTAATCTCTGAACCAATCATTACAGTGATTACATGATTCTATTCACACATGATTGGCAGAACAACATCTCAATTGATTTAGAACTTTCCAGTCTGCCAACTGAGCGCTCTCATTGATGATTAAATGTTTCGCCATGCTTACCTGGGTCAAGGTTAGCCACAATTCTAGCATGATGTCTTTTAGCTAAGGCTTCAGCCATCGCTAACTCGGCCATTTTCTCTGCCTTCTTCTTTCGGCCTCGTTTCCTCCTCTCTGGTAATAAACCTTGCTCAATCTGTAAATAACATAGTTAAAATATTATTACATGTTTATGATGGCCGAGAAAGTCCATCAGGATTTTGCGTTCCGGTTACCCCTTGTCAGTGGTGTAGGGCAGAGGGCCTGACAAGGACAGCTGTCTAGTCGTTCGGATGGGACAAAAAACTGAGGTCCTGTGTACACATTGGCAGGTACGTAAAAGATCCCTTGGCAGTTGGAATTTGATATAAGAGTAGGCCGTAGTGCCGCTGTCCTGGTAAAACATCCCTCATAGCACACTGTTTGGCGTATGGACGCCTTCATTAGCCCAGTCGGAGCAGAACAGTAGGACGTTAAACCCCATTTCATTTCATTTATTCCATGTTTCAAAACATACGATGAGCAACACATAAAATCCAACAATGAGTCCTACAAACAACCAAGGTTTTGGCGAAATTTAGCCAGATTTCAACTATCTACAATTAATTTTCATCAAAACTTCATGAACGCGACTATTCAACTAAGATGCCATGTCCCACACCCAATATATTTTGATTAGAAAAATGTCAGTTTTGTGCCCTTATCTTAGTTAATCTGACCTGATAATGGTCATTTACCATTTTAAAAAAAAAAATTAAAAAGGAAGATTTAACTTACGAGACTATTTCGTAATTTAGCAGCATCAAGTTCTGAAGCGTGTCCATTGAGGAAATGTTCTCCAGACATCTGTAAGGAATAAAATAATTTTATAAAATGTTTATACGAAACCAAGATAGAAATGGTGTTGAACATCTAGTCAACACAATATTTTATCTTGAGACTAACATGTGGTCAGTGTTTTCTATGCTAAAATGAGAATTTTGCTCAAACAGTGGTGTTTCTGCCAGCTCTTGCTCAAATTCCAATTTCCCCCAAAAAATAAAGAGAAAATATAAGAACGTAGTTTAACATCTTGACAACACAATACGTCATCATTTAGAGAGCTAACATTACACAGACAACCACCGTCAACATCGCTCACATTATTTCTATTTTGTCTCTCTTGTAAATAGTTAGGTTTTTTTTTTCCGTTTGAGAGAAGCCTATGTTATTACATGCCCGGGACTGTACAGCGCAGTGGACGCTTATGGCTGGCCCCAGATCCATTCACTTGATTTGATATTTGTTTATTTTTTGCAATGTCTATTATCTGTCTTGTCCGCAGGTTTATCTTGTCTGCTCTTGACAATTTGAGGACCCGAAGAAAACCCATGAGGTCGGAAAGGCTCAATTTTATTTCAGTAATTAATTTGTTAGGAGTCTTTAGCAGTGGAATGAAAATGTAGGACCCAGAGAAAACCAAGTGTATTTTTTAAAATAAGGTAAAACACAAGAAGATTTGTTTAATATATTACTTACAGCATGAATGGCTGATAAATTCATTGGTTCATGTAAACTCTCGTTATCACTAGATGCAGCACTATGTGGTGTTTGACTCTGATTCAATATTTGTTGAACTCGCGTGGCTGAAATAAAACAAATATATTCTACTTTATTATCTCACTAGCAGGATACCTGATTTCGCCTGGGGGCCCAAAATTCGATGACCTAAAACATTCACAGAGTTATGCTGGTTAATTTGATACCACATGGGGGAACGTACACACATACATTTTTTATTTTATTTATATAGATTCAATTTACTTGAGGGAAGAACCACTGACAGACTCAACTTGACTAATTCAATACAAAACAAGCGTTGGCTATCCGAATTTCTACAACAGGATGTGGTATCGAGTGTTCTTAATGTATTCTTGATATCTGACAACATCCAGAAATATGTGTCCTGATTTTTCACTAATTTCTTTGATTTATCAACCAGAATCAGTTTATCCGTGAGCCTTGATTAAACAACTAGAATCAGTTTATTGGCTCTATCCGTTAGCCTAATATTTTAAATACAGACATTATATAAACTATTAGACATTTATTAACTGATCCAGGCCATAATCAACCCTCGATGGCATGGCTTTTTACCGATATTAAATAAATTAGAACAGTTCAGCCATATTTTAATTTAATTTAAAAATGGATGCGCGAGACTTAGCCTCAAACAACCAGTACGGTGGTTGCAATTATTGCACACGTCTTGTCAAACCTTCAAAAGTTAATATTTCAAATTATTGGTCAGCTCTTTATCTTTAATTAAAATCAATATATTGGAAGTCCAAATTGCTGAAAAGTTTTAAATCTCACCTCGATCAGGATCAATATCATATTTCCTTTTACGTCCTCGACTTCGTTTTTGTATCGTCATACGTAAACCTTCACCCTGTTCATAGATAGAAAATATAATAATTAAATAATCAAAAATATAAAATATCATCTGAATATCAAATCCTATCATCAATATTCTCTATATAACTAAACTTATGAAATGAAATGAAATGAAATGGGGTTTAACGTCCTACTGTTCTGCTCCTAACCTGGGCTAATGAAGACGGGCATACGCCATATAGTGTGCTATGAGGGAAATTTTGCCCGGACAGCGGCACTACGGCCTACTCTTATATCGAATTCCAACTGCCAAGGGATCTTTTACGTGCACGCAAATGTGTACACGGGACCTCGGTTTTTCGTCCCATCCGAACGACTAGACAGCTTTCCTTGTCAGGCCCTCCGTCCTGCATCACTGACAAGGGAGAAAACTGAACTTATAAAATCTGGATTTCATTGTTCGAAACCAAGAGAGAGAGAAATGGGGTTTAACGTCCACTCGACACAAACTAGGTCATTTCGGGACTAATAGATGGTTTAATTTTATTTCAATAGGGGTCTTTTAGCAGTAGGAGGAAACCGGAGGACCCGGAGAAAACCCACGAGGTTGGACAGGCGACCCTAATCCTTGTCATGTACAACCGGGGATTCGAAACCACGCCCGTTGACTCAATGACAGGCCGTATGATACAGCGCGCATGTGCTAACCATTCGGCCACCCAACCCAAAACCAAAGGTGAATAAAATAATAGAATGAAAATGAGTTTAACGCCATGTCAACACAATATGGTTATTAGGAGACTGCTGTTGTAATGTGACGGGGATTTTTGTCACGCTCAGCAGGGTTTCTATCCACACTTCTACAAATTCCAATTGTCAAGGGTTCTTTTACTTGCACGCCAAGATTGACCTTGTTTATCGTCCCAGTCGAAGGACTAGACACTTCATTTCAGTCCCTAGATGGTATGACAGTATATTTACCGATCTACTACTGTGACCCCCCTCTCGTCCCTAAAAAAGAAACAGTAGTAGCTTCGGTTGCCCCCTATAAAATAAGTAATAGTAACCACTATGGCCCCCCTCGTCCCTATAATAAACATTAGTAACCACTGTGGCCCACCTCGTAACTATAAATAAACATTAGTAACCACTGTGGCCCCCCCTCGTCCCTATAAAATAAACATTTGTAACCACTGTGGCCCCCCTCGCTCCTATAATAAACATTAGTAACCACTGTGGCCCCCGTCGTCCCTATAATAAACATTAGTAACCACTGTGACCCCCCTTGTCCTATACAATAAACATTAGTAAATGATAAATGAAAAGCGATAATGAAGAATATGCTGAAGAAAATAAAGAACTGAACACACCAAGGAAGATCTTTCCTGACAAAAACACGAAGGGTATAGCGAACAATTTATCCACGTCACAGGAATCATCGCCGTCATGTTTGTCTCGATAGTATATATAAAGCAAAATATAGTGGCATCCATTAACGCTTATATTAAACCATCAAGATGGTTTGTCAGCAAGTAGCGTACACAAAGCAAAGAAACAAAAAGTTAACACTGACCAGTGAACATTCGTTAGAGATGGGGTTTAACGTCCTACTCCGACAGGGCTAATGAAGACGGGCAAATGCCATATGGTGTGCTATGAGGGAAATTTTGCCCTGACAGCGGCACTAGAGCCAACTCTTATTTAGGAATTCCAACCGTCAAAGGTTTCTTTTACTTGTATGCCCATGTGGACACAGGACCTCTGTCCTTCACCACTCTGACAAAACCGAGAAGTTCTGGGTTAGCGAGCCAACATCGTACTGAGTCACCGAGGTTCGTAGTTAGAAAGGGATAACCGTCAACAAATAATCGTTGATGTGTTCAGGTCTTCAGTTCCATGTGATTTTATCAGTTAAACAATAAAACAAGATACATAGATAACAGAGTAGGTACAATACAAGGGGTGATGGTTCATGCAAATTTACTTACTTTTCTTTATTATGTTCTATTATAAATTCTGTTTAAATTCTAAACTTTCCTAAGGTTTTTTTCTGCTATTCTATAATTTTTTATTAATCAATTTCTATTATAATTTGAAATTTAAGCTTTATAAATTCTATTTTGAAATTTAAATTCTTCTAAGTCTTTGTAATTTTTAATTTTATTATTAAATATGTACTTTTATAAATACCCTCTGATTTTATAAACTCTTGAAGTTGTTTTTAATTACATACATTGTTAAGTTAATTTTGTTTATATCGTGACTTGGTTAACTTGAGGTGTGACTGACTAACGACTTGTAACAACTAGACAGCAAAATCTTGTAAGAAATTAAAGCATTGAGGATCTAAGGAATTTAAGAAATTTAGAATTATGAAGTAAAATCTCGAGACTGAAGACGTGGAAATCAAGTATGAAAGAATTTTACGAAACAAAATGGCTTTTAATATTGTTTTTTCGTTGTTGTTGTAACAGACATGCTTACCAAATACCAAACCTTATAGCAACATACGGAATAAATTCCATAACAATTAGCGAGAAGAAAACATTCACAGATGAGAAGCCAGCCAATGAAATGCGATGATAATGAAAACGATGACGCCATCCACCTTGTAAAGAAAGTTACCCTACCTCTGATATATGTACTTCAAGATCTTTAGGGGTTTCCCCAAACATCACCTGAATTCCTTCAAAAGTATTTTCTCCTACATCTGAATCTCCGTGAGGCGTGTCTCCTCCTTTCGGTGTCGAACATCCAACAGGTGTCGTACTACGAGAATCAAATGCTGCAGACGGTACAAATCCTTTTTTAGAGAAGGGCCACTCGCCTTTTTCCACTGTATAACATACGTGTTCTAATCTATGGAAGATAACTCGATCCTGAAATAAAGAAACAATTTGAAAATTCATGATTGGTTGAGATATATATTTTTATGCAGTTGACACATGTGTTGTACTCTGAAATTCTCCTTTTCACTCGATTGACACTATTTTTGGAATTGAGAGAATTATTATAGAAAGATCGAAATGTTTGTACCTTTGGCCAGTCTAGCTGTGTACTGAGGAAACTTCTACCACCAACTATTTCACCTGGTTCTGGTCCGTCAGGATCTAAATAATCTTCATTATACATTCCAGGGAACTGTAACATAGAAAACGACATTATACATTCCAGGGAACTGTAACATAGAAAACAACATTATACATTCCAGGGAACTGTAACATAGAAAACAACATTATACATTCCAGGGAACTGTAACATATTGAATCAACATTATACATTCCATAACAAAATAGGCTCCATCAGTGCTATCACATAAACCGTTTCCCAAGATATCATTATAAGACTTTGTACATACATCAACCTATTATATTGCTTTTGGCTAATTGGAAATTCTTAAGATTTTTGTTTTTCCTTAGAAACAAATTTGACTACTCTTTATTTAAAATTCAAACTGTAAAGGGTTTTAGAGCATGTCAACATGTTTTTCATATCGTCAGAACAACTAGACAGGTGTCTTTGCCAGGTTCTCCTCGTGATTTTTCAGAGCAGTTTACCCCGTCACTGGTGCAGGAAGGAAGGAGGGCCTGACAAAGACAGTTGTCTAGTCATTTGGATGGGACGAAAAACATTGGCATGCATGTAAAAGATCCCTTGGCAGTTGGAATTCAATATAAGAGTAGACCGTATTATGTTGACCGGGCAAAAGTTCCCTCATAGCAAACTTTGTGGCGTTATGCCTGTCTTCATTAGCTCATTATTTGTTATTGAGCCAGCTTGTAAAGTTTGTTATTGAGCCAGCACCAGACCCACTGAGTAATGTTTAAATGAATATAAAATGATTACGTTAGAACTAACCTGTAAGTTACCATGTCTCGGTGTTGTTACTGATCGTAATTCACGTTTTATTAACTCATCCTCGTCCAATACCTCCATTTTCTTCTCATATAATTTATCCTTGATTTTCACAAATTCTTCTTTATTATCCTTCTCTTCGCTTGATTCCATTGGTTCATCTTTAATCTCTTTACTCTCTTCTTTCACTTTATCTTTTTCTACTTTCAATTCCGATTCTTCTACTTTTACTTTATCACTATCAAGTTTCACATCCTCCTCTTCCTCTACTTTCACGTCATCTTTCTCTTCTTTTATTTTATCTTTTTCGGTTATATCCTCTTCTTTCACTTTATCACTATTCATCACTTCCTCATCTTTAGTCCTACTTTCACTTTCCTCTACTTTCATTTTCTTTTTATCACTTTCTGTGTCACTAGTTTCACCGTTTACAGTCACTTCCTGTTTGGTTTCACATTTCACTTCTGTTTTTTCACTAGAGTCATTTTTCTCTGATTTTTCCGTCACTTCAGACGCGTCCTCCTCTTTGTCATTCTGGACTTGTTCGTCATCCGTTTCTATTTTGATTGGTGATTTCGATTTATTGTCTTCATTCTCAGGTTTCATATCTTTCTCGTTCTCTTTTTTCACGGAATCTTTTTTCGTCGCCGTTGATTCTCTATCGAGTTCTTCCTTCAGTAAAACAGGAGTACCACCTGTAAAAAACAGACAAAAATCAACAAGTTGCCAATAATACAAATGTTTGAATAGAAAACAAAGTTTAACATTTAGTCAACACATCAGTCATTTGGAGCCTAACACATGGTAAACTTTTCTACGGGGTTTAACGTCCAACTGTTCAGCTCCAACTGGTCTAATGAAGATAGGACTTTTCTATGGTCAGGTCTACAAGGCTAGTGAAGAGGATTTACCTCAATATTTTTCTCGGACGAGTCACAGCAGTCGACTAGAATGTCCAAGGTTACAATCACGGAGTAGGCGAATAGTAGGAATTAAAACACCTAATATATTACTCAAATATTCCAGTTCAACAAAGGGACCAAGAGATTCCAGTTGAACACAAGGCCTAACAGATTCCAGTTCAATGCAGGGACCAACAGAATCAAGTTCAACACAGGGACCAACAGAATTGTTCTCAGATTTTGTTAAATTGACAATCTATTGACTCTAGTTCTCGAGTTTAAAGCCATCGCTGATAATTTGTAGTTAAAGGTTTGCTCAGATTTATAAAATATTAAATCATGTATTTTATCATTGGATTGACAGAACATAGAATCATCATAGCAAACAGATAAAATGGAGTTTAACATCCTTCTGTATAGCAACCACAAAGATAGGTGTAAGAGTAATGAAATAGGGTTTAACATCCTACTGTTCTGCACTCACTGGGCTACTATAAAGTATGTATGTAAATAAAATGAAATGGGGCTTAACGTCCTACTGTTCTACTCCTTTACTGGGCTAATGAAGACGGGCATACAGTGTGCTATAAGGGAAATTATGACCAGAAGGCGGCGTTACGGCCTAGTCTTATAATGAATTCTAACTGCCATGTGATCTTTTACGTGCACACCAATGTATACATGTGACCTCGGTTTTTCGTCCCATCTGAACGTCTCGTCAGCTGTCCTTGGTATGGGAATAAAGAGCAGGTATTAACTGTTGTCATTTGAAATGATTGAATCTTACCTCTGGGAGTGACAGAAATAGGGTTTAACGTCCACTCAAAACTAAACTAGGTCATTTTGGGACTAACACAGTATATTTGTATTTCAATAATTCGCTTGCATGTAAGTGTCTTTACCGGTGGGAGGAAACCGAAGGACTCTGAGAAAACCCATAAGGTTAGACAAGTAACCCTACTCCTTGTCATGTGGAATTGAAACAAGTTAATTGAATGACAGACCTTAGGATCTAAAGGAAATGTGTTACTTACCTCGCGGAGTACTAGGTGTTCTAGGCGTACCACCATTAGGATTGATACTACTAAACGGAGAATTAATACCACGATTAGCTTTCTGAAATATTTCGTGGAATGACAGAGTTGGATCTCGTAGGATATGATAATCTGTTCTTGCTACACCATGTCTGAAATAACAACAGATAATAAATCATAATATACAATATCCCATGACCTAATACACAATATCACATGACCTAATACACAACATCACATGACCTAATACACAACATCACATGACCTAATACACAACATCACATGACCTAATATACAATATCACATGACCTATTATACAACATCACATGACCTATTATACAACATCACATGACCTAATATACAGTATCACATGACCTAATATACAGTATCACATGACCTAATATACAATATCACATGACCTAAAATACAGTATCACATGACCTAATATGGATGTTGCATCTCAAGAAACATGACCATCCTTAAATTGACAACCAGCTGTGGTGAAAAACATGGCCTATTCTAGTCAGTAAAATCCAGCTCCGTTGGATAACGACAGTCCGAAGTAAATTGGTTGAAGTAACATAGAAGCAAACAGGACCAATCGGATTGTCATACGATTTTACCCAACACTCAGGTGGCGCTGGTTTGTTTGTTGACAGAGGTGGCACTGGTGTGTTTGTTGACAGAGGTGGCACTGGTGTGTTTGTCAACAGAGGTGGTACTGGTGTGTTTGTCAACAGAGGTGGTACTGGTGTGTTTGTCAACAGAGGATGGTAAATGTTTGTAAACTATTTTAGGACTGATATTCTTTTTAGAGATTCAAGTTTAACAATGTAGTAATTCTCATGGGATTCAAAATCATTCATGATGAACAGGGGCTGTAATAATACAAGGGAATCCCCAACCCATCCAATGTCTGTAATAATATTAGGGAATCCCAACACCCATCCAATGGCTGTAATAATATAAGGGAATACCCAACCCATCCAATGGCTGTAATAATACAAGGGAATCCCCAACCTATCCAATGGATGTAATAATATAAGAGAATCCCAACCCCCATCCAATGGCTGTAATAATATAAGGGAATCCCAACACCCATCCAATGGCTGTAATAATATAAGGGAATACCCAACCCATCCAATGGCTGTAATAATATAAGGGAATCCCAACACCCATCAAATAACAGCGGCTGTAATAAAACAAGGGAATCCCCAACCCATCCAATGACAGTGGCTGTAATACAAGGGAATCCCCAACCTGTCATAAGCTTTAAATACGAACCTGGCAGCTCCTATTAATAATTCCTTATCATGTTTACCACATTGCCACCAGCTTGGCATATCAAACGATGGTTGACATAACTGGATATGTTCGTCAAGTTTTGGATGGAATAAAATCTCTTCTCGTACTTTATTAATTAAATCTATTCGTGAGAGACACCTGGTAGCACGTTCTTCTGTTATTGGTTCTACATACATCGTGTTCGGTGGAGGTTTAACTGAAATTTTCAAATACTCTAAATTAGCCACAGTCAAATTGCTCAACTCTCAATCAAGATATATTAGCTAACCTCGATCATCATTACTAAAGTCGGTACGATATACTTCACAAAATGTATTCCAATCAGCTAAATATCGTAGGCTAGAGATGCCATTTAGAGATGATTAAGGTCTGTATAAGTTAATTAATGTCTAATAATTTAGATAACATTTCAGGCCTAAAGAAAGACCTGCAATATGCAGATTTAGCCCTTGTATAATGTATTTTCAATGATGTATATTTATGATAGAAAGAGAGAGAGAAATGGGGTTTAACGTCCACTCGACACAAACTAGGTCATTTCGGGACTAACATATGGTTTAATTTTATTTACATAATTCGCTTGCGCGTAGGGGTCTTTAGCAGTGGCAGGAAACCGGAGGACCCGGAGAAAACCCACGACCGGGGATTCGAAACCACGCCAGTCGACTCAATGACAGACTGTATGATACAGCGCGCGCACGTTAACCATTCAGCCATCCAACCCCCCATTTATGATAGAGATCTGATATACACATAATCCATGTTATTCATTACAGTGAAATAAAAACAGTACAAATTCATTTTTTACATTTATATTCAATAAAGATTTATTTCGGTCATTGCAAGTGTCTATAACCATGATAAAACTCATCAATTTTCATTTATTTTAGAAAGGTTTAAAAATACTGACACCATGCAACTTGTAGACTGAGTAACAAATGAAATGACATGGGTTTTAACGTCACACTGTTCTGCTTCTACTGGGCTAATGAAGATGGGAGACGGAGTGATAAATTACATGGTTTTGTGTGGGTCGGGTATGAAATAAATCAGTTAGGTCGTCGATCAGGCCAATCCAACGATCAGGCCAATCCAACAGTAATAGAGATGCCACACACAGTCAAACTAATTTGTCACTTTATATGAAGTGTTAATATTTTCAAAAGAATTCTACTACAACTTACTGTCTTTGCTGAGTTTTCCACAAACTCTTTGGCACATAAAATAAAATCCCTGAAAATATTCTGTTAAAGTATCGTCAAACTTCTTCTCGAGACGAGCCAGATTTCGGAATCTATCCCAGATAAATCTTCCTGTTTTTTTATCTATTTCAACACCGTACGTTGACACGGTTTTATAAAAATCAGCTTCTTCTCTTCGAGACCAACGACTGAAATACACATTCAACTAAATTAAAGAAAGGACAATCAAAAACAAAATATGGTTCTCGGATAGCATTGCATCACTTAAACACAGTTGTATGACCCAGTTTATATTAAACATACATTATGCAAGAGCTAAATCTGCCTATTGCAGGTTTTTCTTTAGGCCTGAAATGTTTTCTTAATTATTAATTAGACATTAATTAACTGATCAAGGCCTTAATCAACTCTCGACGGCATCAGATTTCTCCGATATTAAATAGATTAGAATGGTTCAGCGATACTTTGATTTAATCAAATATGGAGGACCGAGATTTAGCTTCGATCAACCAGTACGGTGGTTGAAATTATTGCACACGTCTGTCAAACCTTCAAAGGCTAATATCTTTGCTTGCAAAAGAGTAATTTGAATGAAATTTTCAAATTATTCATTTTACATTACCTACTTTCGAACTATTATAGCAAGAATGGCTAGTTCTTTGTCTAAATCTTACGTAATGTATCTTTAATAAACCCAACCTCACTGATTGTCATCAATTCCAGCAGTAAAGGGAACGACCATTGACAATCATAAATGTCAAGGAATAATCATAAATTGAGTAATTATTTATCAAGAAATGGCAACAATGTATTCATATTTTTAACATCTATACAACTTATTGACGTGAAACTGGTAAATACTCTGAATTATATCAATGATATTGAAAACGAAATGATTGAAATTATACACAATAGGAATGGGAGAAGACTAGATAAAATCTGCGATATCATGATACTCGATTCTCTGATTACAAAAATAAAGGTAAATGAAAGACCATCCAATCGTATTAACTGTAACAGAAGGTAATGAAAGACTATCCAATCGTAATGACTAACAGAAAGTAATTATTATTCTTACTTCTGTAATGATTCTCTACGTCTATATTCCCGTTCTCGGACAGCCATATCAGACTTTCCTCGTTTCTCCATTTTCTATAAAAGAAACACAAATTATATAAACACTTATTTTATAAACAGATCTGATAGTAAGCATTCAGGGCAAAATTTAACATTCTCTGGTTTTAAGACAATATTCAAATACTATGAACGTTTTGCAAAGAACTTATTAATGTAGCACTATATAAGACCATTATAAATATATATTTCTGTAGCAATGAAAACGATGAGGATTGGAATCAGGACATTCAATTGTCAACTAATAAATAGAAGTATTTGTTTGTCTTAAATTGTGTTAAGGAGATATGAAACTTCATTCCTACAGTCTTCCAATATTATCCGAGAGTAAAAAACGGAAATTGAAAATAAATTTACCCTTGCTTGCATTTCCATCTCCATGATGCGTTTTTTATTAGTTCGTTGATAACATGTAATTAATCTACGTAATCTGGAATTTAATTCAGACGTTCCTGGAAACGGTAATTTATCACCAAAATCTGAAAAATAAAATGTCAACAATCTTATTTAACTTGTTCAAGTAGGAGTGTTTAGCAGTGGGAGGAAACCAGAGGACCTGGAGAAAACCACAAGGTTGGACAGGCAACCCTTCTCTTTGTCGCATACAATCGGGGTCTTTAGCAGTGGGAGGAAACCGGAGGACCCGGAGAAAAACCCACGAGATTTGGATAGGCAACCCTTCTCTTTGTCGCCAGTTGACTCAATGACAGACCTTATGATATAACGCACACGCTAACCTTTCAGCCATCCAACCTAAAATGACTGGAATAGTTTGCTCAGATTTATAAAATATAAAATCATGTATTTTATCATTGGATTGACAGAACATAGAATCATCATAGCAAACAGATAAAAAGAATTGATGTTTCTTTTTTTAATCCGGCTGTAATTTTATACATAAGAGGAGAGGGGACTGTTTTTTAATGTGGAAGGAGTTTTGTTTAAATATTAACAGTCTGAACCCATATAACGAAGTCTAGAGTGGGACTACATTTTTCCTTTGGAAGGAGTTTTGTTTAAATGTTGACATTATGAACACACTTGATGAAGACTAGAGTGGCAACTATTTTGTAACTCGGCAGAATTTTTTAATAATGAACAGTCCAAAACAAATTCTGAAATCATATACAATCTGATGAATTTACCAAGATATAAATATATAAATAGTTTTACCTTCTGATGGAGGAGCTGGTTTTTTCTTCGTATCTGGTGCCGATGCCATGGATGCTTCATCATCATCGTCATCATCATCATCATTTCTAATAAACAGACAAAACAAAATAAATCATCTTCGAACATAATTTATCATGGTTAATTCTAGATTCAGGGAGTATATAAGTTATCATGGTTAATTCTAGATTCAGGGATTATATTTTTCTATTTTAATGTTCAATTATTAACCATAGAGTATAAATTTTCAGAAACATGGGTTGCCAGGCAACGAGAAGTTAATCAAATGATGTCTTTAGTCTGGGATAGAGAGACGAGTGACAACAACGTGGGCGTATAAAAACTGGGAGATATGAGAAAATGGAATTTAACGAAACAACATTCTTCAGATAGAAATGAGAAACAATTGTACTCATAGTACATCTAGTCCAGCACATCCAGACTGATGTCTACTCAGTATTAGCATGGCTAATCATCACAAGAATGCTCAATATATTAATTCATTGTCAAATAGTCAACAAGACTCAATCATCAAGGAAGAGAGGCAAAATAATTTAAGTAACTAACAAGAAGATCAGGTCATCAACATCCCAGACCCTTATATACAAATCATTTAATAAAATTTGTTTCCATGGAAACATAATTAAATTTGAGGTAATCTAATTAGCTACATAAAACAAATTGTAAAACAACTTTTAATATGAGAAAAGTGTTACAGTCGTGTGCTTTATCCTTTATCGTCAGATGGCGGGATGGTCATTCAAAACGTGTGATAATGATATAGACATATATATGTGATATCACAATTAATGCTTTGCATCAATGAAATTGAATCACAATGTGATCGTATTAATTCATAATAAAAATTGATGTCAAGCGGGGTGTTGGATTTCACTCTTTAAAAAGCTCAGTGTGTATGTATGTATGGAGACGATGATGGCATGATACATTGTCAACTGTCAAATTCCCTCCTGTAAAAATTGAACAAAGTTTCAGACAGAAATGTTGAATGGTTTACGAGACCACTTCATTTGACGCTCTCTAAATTTATCTGCTATATAAACTAACGAAAACTCAGAAGTGGTCTTGGATGTTCAAGCAAGAGAAGACAAAATCTCACGTCTCAAAAATTTCTCGAACTTACTTGTCGTCATTATCTTCATTTTGTTCGGCCAATAGAGCAGCTCCATCTGGTGGTCCACATCTTGAGAGGAAAACTAAAGTAGGATCTGATCGTATTTTATGATATTTTTCGTAGCCATGTTTAAATATACCCACTATAAGAGATCTATCAGCTAATTCATCCCACCAGAAAGTAGGCGTGTCACGATCAGCTGATGGTTTTGGAATGTTGATATCCCTAGAAAAATAGCAAATAATATATTGAGTGTGTGAGAGAAATAGGGTTTAAAATCTAATCAACACAGGTCATTTTGGGACTAACATATGGTTCTATTTCATTTCAATCAATCGCCTTTGCTTAGGGGTCTTTAGCAGTAGGAGGAAACCGGAGGATCCAGTGCGAACCCAAGAGGTTGGACAGGCGTCCCTAATCCTCGTCACAAACAAGCCAAGAGTCGAAACCACGCTACTTGTTTCAATGACTGATCTTATGATCTAAAGCATGTGTTAGACCACTCGACAACCCAACCCTCGAATATATCATATGAGTAAGGCCACAGTATTGTGTCGTGGTTACAAGCTGCAGTTAATAATGTACTAAATGAGTAGTAGAAGCCGACAACAACTCTCGTAAAGTAGGTATAATGTAGCTAGATACACATAGGGGTTGCTTCTCTACATACAATATACTAAATAAATGAAAAGAGTTGTTTTATAGATTTTAAATTAAAAAAGACGACTCTAGTCTGAACTTATTTTATATTTATTGAGTATATTTATTAACTACACATCTAACTGTAGCTTGTAACCAGGACACAGTATTGTGTGTATACGGTGTATGATAATTTATATTTGACAATAGTACATAATAATCTAACTTACTTGATATTAGCTCCCTGGAAGACTTTTTTGGCCTCTTCACCAACTATTTCTTGTTTGAGGTAGTATAATAAACGAACCCGTAATAATACTCTGTAATATATATATATATACACAATAGGTAAGAGATATACTATATACATAAATTCATCTAACTTATAAACAAATCTAATCCTTAATGAGATTATCAGATAATAATAATAATAATAATGACTTTATTTTCTGAGGGAACAAATTTAGTACATGAGTTCTAATTACCAACATGTCCCTCCTACTCTATAAAACTAGCAACTACACAGTAATAATATTTACAAAGTGCATTATATATCATCAAGACTTTTAACATGGTCCAGTCCCTTGATTTGATATACATATTATTTATTGATGGTAAATGTCTATGTAGTTTGTCCTGTCCACAGGTTTGTCTTCTAGGGTTTTTTTGTGTGTGGTGTGGTCCTCCTACAATTATTATAGTCCTTTCAAATGTCTGGTATAATCTAGTCTAGTACTTGTCAATATAGCTGTTTGGTATAATCTAGTCTAGTACTTAACAATATAGCTGTCTGGTATAATCTAGTCTAGTACTTTTCAATTATTAGAATGTCTATCTAGATGTCTGGTATAATCTAGTCTAGTACTTTTCAATTATTTGAATGTCTATCTAGATGTCTGGTATATTCTAGTCTAGTACTTACTTATTAGAATGTCTATCTAGATGTCTGGTATAAGCTGGATCCAGTATCGATGCTGGATTAAAATCGAGACTATTTTTATCGATAACTGGTAAATCTGGCTCTATATCTGGTATGTTCGAATCTTTTTTACTCTTTCCTTTACGTCCTCTCGGTACAGGGGCAGATAACCCTGTAGATACAAAACAGATGTCCATAAATTGAAAAGTCAAACATAATTCCGAAGCTTAACACTTAGAGTATTACATATATCATATCCCAAACCCTTTATACTTAAATTATCATTTTGATAAATCCCTATCATAAAGGCCATCTACTTTTTACTATTTCCTATCATAACAGTCAAAGACTTTTTTTTTTTTAAATGACAAGGTTAGTGTATGTTTAAATGACAAGGGGTAGTAAGTCTATTGTTTAAACGACGAGGGGTAATCTATTTTAAGTGTTCTAACATACCTTTATGATTTTTAAGTACAGCATCACTATGGGGTGAAACTAAATCCCAAATAAAGCTCTTAATCTTTTCATCCCCTTTATAATACGATAAACAACAAACAAGCTGAAATAAAAAAACAAACTTTATAATGTATAAAAATTTGATGAAATAACATATTGTACTGATCTGTGTGTTATAATAATAATCATATATAGTGCCAACAATTCAACTCAATGAGCAGCTCTCGGGCACTTTACATAAGTACAACTAATATAAAATTACAACAATCACAACACATTAATCCATAAAAAGGCATAAACAAAAAACAGAGAAGATTATTTAGTATACATGGTAAAAGTCTGACACAAATACAGCTAGAACCGTATTCAATCAGTTGTATATTTGATTGAAAAGTTCGGTTTTGAGATACTTTTTATTATGCCTGAAATATTTAGATATAAGATTTTTTTCTGACCGGAGTTCAATAAATTAAATGATTGTATAATCAGAATCAATAAATAAACTTACTATTCCTCTAGCAATTGTCTCTACATCTTTTTCATCCAGTTTTCTTTTAAATCGAACATGATGTAAGATATCACCCCACCGTCCCCACCTAAAATAACAAACAGAAATTTACTCATCTTATTGCGATTCATTGATGTCAAATATCTGTAACACCTCATCTATTGACATATATTCTCGTAGCTCTGAATTGTCATTGTGTGGGACTTAAGGTTGCTCAGTGCGTAGGGTGTTTGAGATTTTTCAGCACCATTTCTCCTTGTCAGTGGTGCACGATGCAGTACACATTAACCCATCTGACAAATTTCACGTAGCTACATGAATTGTCATAGTACTATTGTATAATTTTAACCTCACTACTTATTTTAGGCATCGAATTTCTAGAGCGTCAAAATACTAACCCATAAATAAGTAACATTTTTTCTACTTTGAAACATTCCGATCGGCAATAACCGTCTCCTGTATAATCTTCATTAAAATCTTCGTCATCATCCTTCTTACGGCCTCGTTTAGATTTACGCTTGGATGATTTATTCTCATCATCGCTATCACTGGACGATTCTAGTTCACTCATATCTACGACATTATCGTCGTTACCGAACCTTGCTGTCTGTTTCCGACGTCGAGGTTGTTCAATAATCAGATCATTCTGTGGAAGATAACAATGATATTCTATAAATCTAACGTAGATAATATTCTATAAATCTAACGTAGATAATATTCTATAAATCTAACGTAGATAATATTCTATAAATCTAACGTGGATAATATTCTATAAATCTAACGTGGATAATATTCTATAAATCTAACGTGGATAATATGGATAATATTTATAAATCTAACGTGGATAATATTCTATAAATCTAACGTGGATAATATTCTATAAATCTAACGTGGATAATATTCTATAAATCTAACGTAGATAATATTCTATAAATCTAACGTAGATAATATTCTATAAATCTAACGTAGATAATATTCTAATATTTCTAGATTAACAAAAAGCTTAATTTTTATATTCTAAAAATAGGCCAAGTGTAATTTATAGTTCTTTGTGGTGTTAATATCCTGAGTTTGGTGACATTGTTTTTTTGTTCAAAATTTCAAAACTTAAAAAGATTGAGAAGTTTAACCAAGTATCCTTTTCAGTCTTACGTTGTTTTGTTTAAATTTTAAAATTTCAAAACATCAAAATTTGGAACTAATATTTTGAGAAGATTAAATTTGGAACTAATATTTTGAGAAGATTATCCAAGTGTTTTTGTTTTATAAATATTTTTATTGGCAAGAAATAGTAAACAAAATTTCCTAAAAGACAAAAATTTACATTGGTAAGGCCTTATGTTTGTAGTAACATTTGTTTTTTGTTATTATCCAACACACAGACTCCAGTAGACATGTTGAATCCAGAAACTTACCCTACTAGATATTTCATCAACATCTAAATCAGCTTTCTTGGCCCATTTCTGCCAGAATTCAGGATCATTGATATCAATATCTGATCTATTGGTTGATAAACTGAAACTAGCCTGAAATCATGAAAAATATCTAACCTTAATAACGCTAAGAGAATACTTGTCTGTATAGTAAGTACAGGGGGACTGCACCACACACGAACAACTACACTAGACAAATACACGGACACAACACAAACAATTACACTACACAATACGCAGAAATCGCAAACAACCATACATATCAAATCAAGTGAATGGATCCGGGGCTAGCCGTAAGCCTCCACTGTGCTAGTCCCGGGCCTATAGCTATACAGACTTCACTTAAAATGAAAACAAACCAACAAAAAAAGGGAACATTTCATGGTTCTATCACACTAAAACCAGAGATTGATATCCCATAATAAATTATGTTCTGTTTAATTTGGTCGTCAATCGCTAAATGCAATTAAAGATTACATTCAACAAGTTCACAAAGAATATAGCACACAATTTGCTCTGACTCTGGCAATTTGAGTATAATTAACATGAAACTTGGCATGCTTGTTACTCGGACAATTCAAGTACCATCGGACAATTTCGCATCGACCGATAGACTGATTTTTTTTACAAGAAATCACAATTCCAAGATGGCTGCAATGACGTCATACTTGGGCCACAGAAATCTTGTACATGTTAGACAAAACAATTAATAAAAAAACAAATATTCACAAAACTTCATCAAAATATTTGTTGTATTGAAAAGAGTAAATTATTCCAGTTGATACCTGAACTTATAAATCAAGTTTTAGTACACGTCAACTTGTTAAAACTAATATTTAACTCTGTTGTTATTTCTAGATTGTAATGTCCACCTTCCTGTATATTTTTTAGCCCAGAAAGAAGTTTATATTTATATTAGAAGATTTAATCAAACATTCAACTACCCGATTTAAACAACATGTCACATTTATAAACAGTCTAATCTAGTACACTTGTTCTAAATATATATTTACAGTGGGAGGAAACCAGAACACCTGCCAGTTGACTCAATGACAGACCTTATCATCTGACCCGTTTCCAACAACACCAGTATCGAATACCGCACCTCCTGGTTCAGGGGTTAGCACCCTTACTACTGTGCCACTGCAGATCTGACTCAAGACATAAAATGAAATGGAGTTTAACGTCCTACTGTTAATGAAGACCGCCATACGCCACACAGTGTGCTATGAGGGGAATCTTGAACGGACAGTGGTGCTACGGCCTACTCTTACATCAAATTCCAACTGTCAGACGATCTATTAAGTGCACCTCGGTTTCCCTTCTCCCATCCAAACGACTAGACAGCTGTCCTTGTCAGAGGGAAACCACGCCGGAAATCCTGATGAACTTTGCAACCAATACCAGGATCGAATACATGGCCTCCAGCATCTTACTCACTGAACCACTGTGGCACCTCATGGTATTTGGGCCAGCACCCTAGTCATCAGGACTTCTGGTATTTGAGTGAGCGCCCTAGTAACTGGGGCTCCCACTAAGAAGTATAATTACCTTAGCGAATGTTGATCCCTTTCCCTCAGATTCAATCTGTATAACTTGTGTTCGTCTCTGTAAAATCTGATCGATATCCTCTTCACAGAAATCATCACCTGTCGTATCGTCATCCATCAACGCACCATATGCTCCTTTCTTTAATAACTCTTCTACTTCCTTCTTAGATAACTGTGATGCCTGATTATATAAACAAATTTAAATATTTAAATAGACATTGTAATAAATAAAAACATGTACGGAAACAAATAAATGGATTCAGGGGCTAGGCTTTTGTAAGGGAAGGTCATTTTATTATAGTAGGTTCCCAAGAGTGTTGATTAACTGTTAAGAGATAAAAACATGTACTAAAACAAGTGAATGGATCCGGGGGCTAGGCCTTTGTTTATGTAACGGAAGGTCATTTTATTAAAGTTTTTGCCAAGAGTCGTAATTAATGAATTATTAACACATGTTTTCGCAGAATAGAAATGTTGCCATTACATTTGCATTAGCCCGACTTTTCTCCGGACTAACATATGGTTTTAATTTTATTTCAATAATTCGCTTGCGCGTAGGCATCTTTAGCAGTGGGAGGAAACAGGAAGACCCGGAGGAAAAACATGAGGTTGAACAGGCGACCCTACTCCTTGTCACGTACAACCATGGAATTGAAACCCTGCCAGTTGACTCAATCATAGACCTTATGATGCAACGCACAGATGCTAACCATTCGATCATCCCCCCCCCCCTCCCCGTCTGTAACTAACGGTTGATAAAATAAAATCTGTACCTGATTAACTCCTTTGTTTTCACCACCTAACGATTGTAAAACAGCTTTATCTAGACCTAGTTTCATGGATGCTCGATCGAACATTTCACGTTCATACGAGTTTCGTGTGACTAGACGATAAATCTTCACGGCTTTACTCTGTCCAATACGATGACAACGAGCTTGAGCCTGAAATAACAGTTAAATAAAAATAAACTATTAGAACAAATCTATACAAACGGAATAAATAATAACAATTTTATTATAAAGTATAGAAATAGGGATATCGAAAAGAGAGAGAGAGAGAGAGAGAAATGGGGTTTAACGTTCACTGACACAAATTAGGTACAATTTTATTTTAATAATTCGCTGGCAACTAGGGGTCTTTAGTAGTGGGAGAAAACCGAAGAAAAACCCACGAGGTTGGACGACGAGCCTATTCCTTGTCACATACAACCGGTGAATCGAAACCACGCCAGTTGACTCAATGACAAACAGTATGGTACACACGCACATGCTAACCATTCGGCCATCCAAACCCCCCCCAGCATATTTATAGTGTGCCCTTTCATATAACATGTTCAGGGGCACTTTACAAAGTGACAATGTAATCATAAAATTTTATAATTTTGTAGACGATATACCTGTAGATCATTTTATAAACGAATATTAATATTTACCTGTAGATCATTTTGAGGATTCCAATCTGAGTCGTAAATAATACACGTATCAGCTGCCGTTAAATTGATACCCAATCCACCAGCTCTTGTACATAGTAAAAACACAAAACGATCAGAATCAGGTTTAGAGAATCTATCAATAGCTTCCTGTCTTATGTTACCACGGATACGACCATCTAAACGCTCGTATAAATACCTGAAATATACACAAAATAATCAATTAAATCGAGAGAATGTTGCCATTTCTTGGTGTGAAATGAAATGGGGTTTAACGTCCTACAGTTCTGCTCCTAACCTGGGCTAATGAAGACGGGCATACGCCATACAGTGGCACTATCGCCAACTCTTTTATCGAATTCCAACTGCCAGGGGATCTTTTACGTGCATTCCAATATATACACGGGACCTCGGTTTTTCGTCTCATCCGAAGGACTAGACAGCTGTCCTTGTCAGACCCTCCGTTCTGCACCACTGACAAGGGGGAAACCACGTCGGAAAATCCCGATGAACTTTCTCGGCCAATGCACATTTATTGGTGTAGTTTCGTTCTAAAATAATCTAGATTATATATTATTAAAACAAGCATATTAATCATACAAGATCTAAATCTGCCCATAATCAACTCTCAATGCCATTGTTAGCCTTTCATATTTAGTGGATTTGAATTAACGCAAAAATAGATAAAGACTTTATTATCATGCCAACAACAGTAATGATGATCAAGGCTAGCCTAAAATTGAATCGCTAATATTATGGTTCAGAGTGAAGCAACTAGATTATCACAGGTAGACATTTTCCCCATAAAGCGTGAGACATGGTATTCACGATATTTTCTATCGAGGAATCTGAGAGGCCCCTAAGTTAGGGTTAGCCAATCGAAATGAAATGAAATATACAGCTAGAGTTACATAAGATGTACATAGTGAAAGCTAAAGTCTGTAAGAAAAAGAAACTTACTGCTTATGTAGGAGGTAGTCTTCGAGAATATCTAAAACTTTGATCATCTGTGAGAAAATAAGAACTTTATGTCCGCCTTGTTTTAATTTGGGTAATAATTTATCCATGAGAACCATTTTACCACAAGATTGAACCATCGAGTTAAATAATGGATCGTGATCTGTCGGGGTTTTCGTCTTCATATCGTCTAATATCTTATCTTCCGCTCCTGGAGAACAATTAAAAACAGTTTTACATACATTTCAATTTGAACGGACTTCTCAGGGCTGGAAAACCCTGAGAAACCTTCGCAACCAAGGCAAGGATTGAACATGAGACCTCCTGGTTACAGAGCCACAGTGGTTCCCCGGAATATATTACAATTAATGGTCCATAAATGCATAACGTTATATGTAAGTCCATTTCTAACTGTATCAATACAGTGCTTGATTACAACAAGGGAACCAATGTGTCTATTAAATTCAGTGTTTGTATTCCATAATGTGACTAGTATTGAACAATTTTCTACAATCACTCTTAATAAGGAAGCCATCTGTCAGGAATTTAAACTGATCTCAGTGATCGAAGACTGAAAGGTTGAGAATTCAGATGCTGTCATACCCTGAACAAGTCAAAATATAAAATTAAAATCAAAGATGACCTGTTACCTTTAATAAGGAAAGGATGATTACAACATTTCCTGAGTTCCATCATCGTGTTCATTAAATTAGGTACGTTAGCAGAACCAGTCGAACCCTTCGATAAAAACGTAAAATTTCTCTCCAATATGGCACGATAATATTTCTTCTGTATGTTGGTCAGCTCCACCTGGAAATTAAAATATAAATATTATTGTCCAGATATGAAATAGGGTTTAACGTCCTACTGTTCTGCTCCGACTGGGATAATAATGATAGGGCTATTGTCAACAAATCATTATTTGAATTTCTATCATGTTTTTCCAATGATAATGGTTCAGTCAAGATATACTTTGTTTTTTTTAATGTGAAAACATAAATTTTCTTTATAATTGCTAATATTTCACTGGGATAATTCAGATCGGTATGGGGGAAAATTTGTCAAGAAAGCTTCGCTAGTCTACTTTCAATTCTACCACCCTCCCCCCTCCCCCCATTCGTCCTCATTAGGGAACAGAATCGAATGAAACTTGGCAGGTACCCTTTGTAAGAAATGCCAGTCCCTGTTGATACTTGTTTTTCTTTACCCACAGGTCGTTTAGTTCTTGACTTTAGGACTTGACCCACCGATGTAACCACCCCAACAGCAAATGCCATGTGATTGACAGCCAGTATGCTTGGATTTAAAGACTGATATTGTAATTCAGATCGGTATGGGGGAAAATTTGTCTAGAAAGCTTCGCTACAACCTATTCTTATTCGGAATCTCAATGTGTACACAGGACCTCAGTTTTTCGGTCCAGCTAATGAAAGATATATTTCAATATCATACCTCAACAATTGTTTCTTCTTTTGGTGCCAAATTTTTCTCTACATCTTCCTTCAATCTTCTCAACATCATAGGTTTCAATATCTACAAAACAAATATCATAGGTTACTCAATATCTACAAAACAAATAACATCATAGGTTACTCAATATCTACAAAACAAATAACATCATAGGTTACTCAATATCTACAAAACAAATAATGTCATAGGTTACTAAATCTAGATAAACATGGACTCAGTCATCAACTTGTAGAACATGCAACTACAAAAATCATGAAATCTGAGAATTTTCTTGTTAGCAACAAAGCAAGACTTAAGCGGTTTATAAGATATGATACAGAAACGAAACAGGTAGAATAGGACAGGGTCTATTTCAATATCACGACTGTAACTTCATTAAATAAATAATACTATTCAAATTCACATGCCTGGTATTAATGAAAATTTTAATCACTCTGTTAATATGAATATTTCACTCAACCAGTGACTGGACATATCACTAAATGATTTCAGATTTAACTCAACCAATGACTGGAAATATCACTAGATGATTTCAGATTTAACTCAACCAATGACTGGACATACCACTAGATGATTTCAGATTTAACTCAACCAATGACTGGAAATATCACTAGATGATTTCAGATTTAACTCAACCAATGAATGGACATACCACTAGATGATTTCAGATTTAACTCAACCAATGACTGGAAATATCACTAGATGATTTCAGATTTAACTCAACCAATGAATGGACATACCACTAGATGATTTCAGATTTAACTCAACCAATGACTGGACATATCACTATATGATTTCAGATTCTACTCAACCAATGACTGGACATATCACTATATGATTTCAGGAGATATCCAACACGTCCTGAACCAAAGATAAAAGACGACCGTTGTTTTAATCTTACCTCTTTAAGTTGATCTACTTGAGATTCTGTTTTTAATGTTCCGAACTCGGCAACAAAAGCTTCTGATGATGCGAATTGTTTAGGTTCAAGGAAATTGAGTAAACTGAATAATTCATCTGTATTGTTCTGTAATGGTGTACCCGTTAATAATACACGATGTTCCTGTTCAATAAAAAAAAATAAAAACTTTCATTTCTGGTCAGCATTTGAGGGATATTAAATCTGTTGCTAACTACAAAACTATGTAAAATCCAGCTAAAAACTTTCCTGCTTTCTATTGGTTTTTTTTGCTAAACAATATTTTTATTCAGGATGTCTGAAGGGGATTGGGGAACTCGCTTAGCCAATCTAAAAGTTGTGTTTCAGTAAAATCATATAATATAAACAAAGGATTGATATTATTATTGTGTGGATTTATTAACTATCTAATAAATATTACATCATGTTGCGCCCGTCTTCATTAGCCCAGTTCGGAGCAAAACAGTAGGACGTTAAACCCCATTTCATTTCATTTCATTTACATCATGTTGCTAAAGTTCATTATAGGCTTGTCATGTGAATAAATGTCTAATTAATAATTTATATAACATAAGAAGCTGGAAAAAAGACCCAAGATTTAGCTCTTACATAATGAATCTTCAACTATTGGATAATTAGTATTTCATGTTGCTAAAATAATCATTCAGATTAGTTTTAAATTGTACAGACAACTTTACTATTAAAATGTTGTTTAATTGTCAATATAAACTTACAAGTTGTATTTTGTTCAATCCATCCATCAGTCGACAGTTTCGGTTTTTTAACCTGTGAGCTTCGTCAATGATGAGACATCGCCATTTTATACTACTGAGTAATTCTATGTCTGATATTATCACCTCGTACGTTGTAATTAATGCATGGATTTTATAAAGATCAGGAATCTTAGCACCCTGTAAAATATATAAAATATATAAATACAAGATCAACGACACTTCATTAAAATAGAGGAAAAGGTATGACAGGTTGGTATATCTGTGTAGCTACTGGATTAAACGATTCCAGTGGAGAGAGTATTAAAAGCTGGACAGGTCGGTAGATGTGTGTAGCTACTGGATTAAATGATTCCGGTGGAGAGAGTAACAGAGGTAGGACAGGTTGGTATATCTGTGTAGCTACTGGATTAAATGATTCCAGTGGAGAGAGTATTAAAAGCTGGACAGGTCGGTAGATGTGTGTAGCTACTGGATTAAATGATTCCGGTGGAGAGAGTAACAGAGGTAGGACAGGTTGGTATATCTGTGTAGCTACTGGATTAAATGATTCCGGTAGAGAGAGTATTAAAAGCTGGACAGGTCGGTAGATGTGTGTAGCTACTGGATTAAATGATTCCTTTGGAGAGAGTAACAGAAGCTGGACAGGCCCGAAAATCTGCGTAGCTACAGGATCAAACCATAATGCATGCAGAGAAAGTAGACTATTGATAATGGAATAATCCTTGGGCATCAAATGAAAAAGGGTTGGGAGACTGGAAACATTATGATAAATTTACGATTCTTTTCTACATAAAATCTACCTGTATTTCTATAATTACAGGATGTATAAATCAATACAAACATAATATACAGTCGAACAGATATACCGAAAGCTTTTATTAGTTTTTTAACCAAATTAATATGAAATGAAATAAAACTACTTACAGAAGAGTCTCGGTAATAAATTTCATATTCTTGTAACATAGTTCGACTTGGACCTCTGAAAATATATCAAACATTTACAATAAACAGATCAATAACTGAAATATAGTTCATAAAAGGGCAGTAACTCTATAAATCACCACAGAAAATACAAACATCAACAAGTGATATATCTTTATAACTAGTGAATAAACATATCTATGACTGAAATTATTCAATCTGAAGACTACAACTACTATAATAGGTTGATGTGGGTACAAAGTTTTATAAAGATATTATACTCCAGAAACAAACTTAGGACAGAATGATTAAAATTGGAGAAATAAATTGTGTGTACAAATTTTTATAAATATATCTTTTAAGACGGTTTTACGGTAGACTCGTCAACAAATCTATAAACAAAGCCTATTCAGTCGCAGGTTGCATAGAGCAATGCCAGCGGGCCAATGTCACTCTTCGACTCGACTTACCCATATACCCTACAGTTCAACCTCGGGACAGCCGTAAGGTAACAGTCAAAAATATATATAGATATTTAAGGTTGAGTTTGGGTAATTGGTTCATGGTTAGACCGGAAACTCTTGAGACACCCCTCGTATATCCATAAAGTTTCTTGATTAAGGTGAAAATAACGAGTACTTACGTTCCATGATATGTTATAACATTCATGTCTGTCCAGGTTTCAAACTCTCGTTGCCAGTTAGCGATGGTCGATAACGGAGCCACGACTAGGAACGGTCCGTGTATACCATACAGATCAATCTCATGTAGGAATGTAATACTTTGTATAGTTTTACCTAAACCCATCTCATCAGCTAATATACAGTTTTGTCTAAAAATAAAACATAACATATATAAAACACAAGTCAATAGCATGACAATTTAAACCTCAAGCTGGTATAAAACACAAGTTAATCGCATGACAATTTAAACCTCAAGTGACAACCACATTTCAAATCGTAGGAATGAATGGAATGGGGTGTAACACACTATTCATGGTGTAATCATAAACTATAGGACAACAATATTTCCATGTAAGCCAAGTTGTAGGATAATGTGGGTAAAATTTGCATTGATAAAAGACAGTTGTCTTTCCTGTACCGACTTCAGAATTCTAACGGCTAATCAAATGAATTAAAAACAAACACCATCTTTAACCATTTGATTAAATGAAAATAACTGATCTATTCAATAGTCCTACCACCACTTTTAATCTATAGTAATAGCAGGAGAACATGACCACACACAAACAGATAATCCAGCAGAGAAACTTGAAGAAAAAGTCCACTTACAGCACAAACTAGGTCATTTCGAGACTAACACATGGTTCAATTTTATTTCAATAATTCGCTTGCGCGTAGGGGTCTTTAGCAGTGGAAGGAAACCGGACGATCCAGAGAAAACCTACGAGGTTGGACAGGTGACCCTACTCCTTGTCACGTACATGGGGGATTCGAAACCACATCACTTGACAAAATGACAGACTTTCTGGTCGAACATGCACACGTCAAACCATTCCTTCCGCCCTGTAAGAAACTTGGACATTGTGAGTAATAAACAAGGAATGAAATGGGGTTTAACATCCTACTTTTCTGCACCAACTGCGCTACTATGTAAATAAATAAACTAACCTGTTAAAATAACAGAATGTCAACCAGTTAACACCCTCTAATTGATAATCTCGTATTCTATTATCATTCTTATATTCTCTTGATTTATCAAGTTGAGTCCATTCACTAGGTTTAGGTCTTTCTTTCTCCTGTTAAAATATATACACATTATATCAATAATTGATGGTTTTAGTCTTTCTCTTGTAAAATATACATCAATAAACACATTATATCAATAATTGATCGGTTTATTAAAATAAATACAACTCTAGATCTAGGCCTAGTTTTAAACAAGAAAAATATGTTATTTGAAAACAGAGATATAAACATGTATCTAATCGTTTGGCAAGGGAGGTAAGTATAAAGAGTGTGATATGACCGTAGAGTCTATCTAGGTTTGTCATATGACCGTAAAATATGGCTAGGTTTGTCACGTGACCATAAAGTCTGGCTAGGTTTGTCGTGAGGCCGTAAAATATGACTAGATTTATCATGTGACATTAAAGTTTGGCTAGGTTCAATTGTCAGTCCAAAACATTCCAAATTGACAGCAGTGCAATCAAAAATCTCAAATAAATCTGAATAAAAGGGACACAACTCTAATGGAACACAACATCTCCCATCAAGTTTGCTATTCATCTTGTACACCGCTTTGACAGGATCTATGTTCAAAGGACGGAAAAATATGAAAATACGATTGAACTTATACGCATGTGAAATATATACTTCGATATTCTCCTCGCGGACTTTCATCCTGTAATAACTGAACTGAAATAAATTTGGGTTTAACGTCCTTTTTCTCTGTTTCGACAGGGCTAGTCAAGACGGATAGCTCTCATTCAACAACTTCTTTGTGAAACTGAGATATGATATTGTTTATTTTTACCTTTCTTTCATCCTCTGGTGGTGGAACTTTAAATTTACGATAAGATTCAACTTTGGTTGGGTCGACATCTTGTTGTAGTTCCCAAGTACAATCCTCGTACGCCATACTCCTCCATTTTACAAGGAAATATGTCATCTCTTGCTGCGTGGCTGGATCCTTCGCGATTTGTTCATCTAAAACACGATCGACTTCCGTGTAATCTGGGTTGAAATATTCTTCATCATCTTCATTCTGGAGAAAATAGAAAAACTCATTTTGATATCAAATTACCAAGTTTCTTTATATAGATGAAATAAAATGGGGTTTACTTGCTACTGTTTTGCTCCGAGTGTGTTAATGAAGACGGGCATACATCAGTGTGCTATAAGGGAAATTTTGCCCGAACAGCGGCACTATGGCTTACTGTTATATCGAATTCTATATGCCAAGGGATCTTTTATGTGCACACCAAAGTGTACACAGGACCTCGTTTTTTTTATCTCATCGGAACGACAAGACAACTGTCCTTGTCAGGCCCTCTGTCCTGCACCACTGACAAGAGGGAAATCCAATTAACTTCCTCAGCCAACACCGAGAGTGAACCCACGATGTCATTTTGAGGTTAGTGACAGCGAATTGTTGAATTGAATTCCTGGGGCTTTGGCCTAATTTTCCCTAATCAGTGGTCCAGAAAAGGCGCCTGGCAAGCAATAGCACCTAGTTGCTCTGAATCTGGAAGGCAATTTCCACCACTGCATACAAGACTCATTATGTATAATAAATTGAGGAATTTATTTCCCCCAGTCGATAATTTCAAATTAAAATGATTTTTTTTTTTTTTTTTTTAAATTGAATTACCACGATGTAACTATTTCGACAACTTACCAATTCAAAGACATTTTGTTGTTGCTTTTTCTGTCTGAAACGTTTTATTTTACCCAGAATTCTCTTGTCTTTCTCTTCCAGTTCCTTCTGCGTCCTCCAATCACAGTGAAGATGAGAACTGTAACATAAATAGGATTTGAATAAATTAAATATTAGATAATTGTCGTCCAAAAATTAATTTTTTAACCAATGTCAATAAAGAAACAAGCTATCTCCAGGGGGCAGATGTTTAGGGCCAGTTTTTGCTGGGGGCAGTTGTACAGGGCCAGTTTGCTGGGAGCAGTTGTACAGAGCAAGTTTTGCTGGGGGCAGTTGTATGAGGCCAGTTTTTGCTGGGGACAGTTGTACAGGGCAAGTTGTGCAGGGGCCAATTGTGCTGGTGCCAGCTATGCTGGGGCAGTTGTGCTGGGGCCAGTTGTGCAGGGGCCAATTGTGCTGGGGGCAGTTGTGCTGGGGCCAGTTGTGCAGGGGTCAATTGTGCTGGTGCCAGCTGTGCTGGGGGCAGTTGTGCTGGGGCCAGTTGAAATATATTATTGAAGAAAGAATAACTTACTAATTTTTAAATTTGACCAGAAATTCTTCTTCCTCTTCTGTTATAGCAGGTTGAGTATCATCTCCATTTTCTGCACTCTCCTATAAATAAAATTGAAAGTAGTAAATATTAAATCTTGTCTTATTGTGATCTGTTTGTGTGGATCATTATTCTTAACAGATATACAACAGAGTGATCGGAGTTAATAATATATTGATAAACTTGTCTTAAGCTTTAGTTACACAAATAAAATTGAAAGTAGTAAATAGTAAATCTAGTCTTATTGTCATCTGTTTGTGTGGATCATTATTCTTAACAGATATACAACAGAGTGATCGGAGTTAATAATATATTGATAAACTTGTCTTAAGCTTTAGTTACACAAATAAAATTGAAAGTAGTAAATAGTAAATCTAGTCTTATTGTGATCTGTTTGTGTGGATCATTATTCTTAACAGATATACAACAGAGTGATCGGAGTTAATAATATATTGATAAACTTGTCTTAAGCTTTAGTTACACAAATAAAATTGAAAGTAGTAAATATTAAATCTTGTCTTATTGTCATCTGTTTGTGTGGATCATTATTCTTAACAGATATACAACAGAGTGATCGGAGTTAATAATATATTGATAAACTTGTCTTAAGCTTTAGTTATACAAATAATATAAAAGAAATAATAAGTTCAGTTAAAAGTTAAGCTAATAATAATATTGTCAGAAAATAGGAACGGTATGACGTTATATATATCTTCAACACAGAGGGAAAGAAGGGATCTTGTCTGAACGCCTACTCTTTTTAGAATGCCAGGTGTTCATTTAGGTGCCATCTGGAAGCCCCTGCACCCCTCCTATAAGGTTTCTATTTCTGCGTCACTAAAGGCCAAGAATAAACATCTCTAATAGTAAGTTCAGGGGGACTGCACCACACAAAATTTACACAAAAACAAATACACGGACAGGACATCATACTCAGGAAAACACAAACATACAGACAATTAAAAAAAAATGAATGGATCCGGGGGGCTAGCCGTAAGCGTCCACTGCGCTGTACAGTCCCGGGTCTGTAGTGACACAGTTTTCCGAACGGCTGTTTTGAATTACAGGATGACTTATAAGATCTTATGAGATTAAAAGAATTTATCTAACATAAAACCACCATGGTATATTGAGTATAAACAATCATATATAAATCATTATACATACATCTTTATCGCGTTTTCTGATTCGAACACCAAGTATTTTTTCTACAACTATAACTTCTTCACCTGTAGATTCATCCTACAAAAAAACATACAGCAAATTAATAAAGGTTAGAGAGAGAGAGAGAAATGGGGTTTAACGTCCACTCGACACAAACTAGGTCATTTCGGGACTAACATATGGTTTAATTTTATTTACATAATTCGCTTGCGCGTAGGGGTCTTTAGCAGTTGGAGGAAACCGGAGGACCCGGAGAAAACCCATGAGGTTGGACAGGCGACCCTACTCCTTGCCACGTAATAAAGGTTAGTCAAATTTTAATTTCCCTCTGCTTCTTTAGATAAAACAGTGATTCTGATGCTAAACACGATACATCAACCCATAGCAACATGATCACCATTAATATTAATATGACTCTCTAATATTGTACTGAAATATATCCATATTCATATACCAACAATTTTACTTGGCTACCCTTTTTTCACAAAATACTTTAAACCTCGCAGATCCTTGATTTCCATTTTTGCATACACATTCCCTAGCTTGCAAGACACAAGTTTAATTCACAGCCGCCCAAATATTTTGACACTGCGTCTGTTACCACAGTTCTTTTACATGCACGCCTTTATGTACACATGACTTCAGTTTTTTGTCCCATCTGAATGACTAGATAGCTGTCCTTGTCAGGCCCTCGGAGTCCTGCACCACTTACAAGAGGGGAAACAAGCTTTCTCAGCCAATACATATTAACCAATGAACTTACAGCTTTCATAGCAACAGGCCCGTTATCCAGTCCCTCGATATCAACCTCTGTATTATCGTCTGATAAATTTAAGTCCAGTTCATCCATATACTTCTTTCGTTTAGTATTACGAGATGATCGTCGTTTCTACAAAATAAATCATTTTATACATGTTAAAATGCTTGGACATCAAAATCAAACCAATTAAATTGTTTCTGTCATTGCCAAGAAAAACACTTTAACTTGGTTATAAATAGGGCCTCGAACGATTAGACATATTTCCATGCCAGACCCACCACCTTGCAGCACTGACCAGTGGAAACTAGGCTGGAAATTCAAGAGAAACGATCTCGCCCAACACTGATACCCAAACACAGCTCTGGGACAATTTGTCCCGAACAACTTGTCCCCAAGGACAACTCATCCCCGGTCTATTAATCCCTTAGAACTATTCATCCCCTAGGGCTAGTCTTCAGGCACGAAGAGAGGGAACTACTAATTTCTTCCTCCATTTTGCCTTCATATCTTTTTAAGCGATGAATTTCCATGGGAACAAATTATCCGGGGTGGAATTTGCCCGTACCCAAACACAGAACCTTCTGCATAGTGAGCCATGAACCTCACACACTGAGCCATATCGGCTCCTTATTTAAACATGCATTATGCAAGAGCAAAATCTGCTTATTACAAGTCTTTCTTTAGGCCTGAAATGTTATCTAAATAATCAATTAGACATTAATTAACTTATCCAGACCATAATAAACTCTCGATGTCAAGGCTAGCCTTCGATGTTGGCTGGATTAGATTCCTATATGCCGCTTACGGCCGTTGATAATTAAATCAATAAAGGTGGATAATCGAGACTTGCTGTTTATATTAATGATTTTAGTAATGATGACCGAGACTAGGCAAAAATTTCACGAGCTTCTTTCTCGGCTCATGGTGGATCAATTTGACTGAAATTTTCAGCAAATTACCTTTACACTATCTAGTTTTTAACTATTATAGCGAGAACTGCCATCTCGTTATCTCCCATAATGTATCTTTAAATAAGAATAAAAATAAAAATAAGTACGAACCAGTACACTATCATCATCTTTAGGTGAACCTTGTGGTGAGACATCAAGATCTGATAGGTCAGGTGACGTCGTCCGTTTACGTTTTTTATTCTTCTGCATAAATGTTGCTGGTGGTCTGAAATAAATAAATTTATATATATATATAATTTAAAAACATTTTCTATAGGACAGATCTTAATTAAACTCAGTGACGATATACAAAATGGCGCCTATGAATGAGGTCGGAAGAAGTTGGGTATTTCCATGGTTACCACTTAAGCATTCCAAACTGCAATCAACAGTATTTATTGAGGTTAATAGCCAAGAATTCATCTTTAATGGCTGTATTATTTTGAAAGTACTGAGTTGAGTTGTCCAACGTATAGGTTATAGGTTAATAGCTGTATTATTTTGAAAGTACTGAGTTGAATTGTCCAACGTATAGGTTTTAGATAATATGACCGGTCATCGATCTTTAAATAATATATAATTATATGACCGGTCATCAAACCAAAACCAGTTGATCTTTAAATAATATATAATTTACTTGTAAAGTTAATTACAGTTGTTAATTACATGGAAAATCACAGGAATTCCAGGAAATCATACGACAGATAAGTCTAATTGTTCATATATGGAGATCTGTAAATATTGATTTTAGTCGTGCCTGATATATAGGCACTATCAACTAGTACCTGATATTATCAACTTGGATATGTACGAATATTTATGACTGTCATTTGTTTGTTCAGGGTTGGTGGTTACACTATGGCTGAAATTTGGTGTATAGGGGTATCTCGGACCAAAGAGTAACATACATGTAGGCTAGGTGGTGTTGGGCCTAACACTTCCGATTTCGGAGTTACGAGCACAAGTAATAACAATATAAACAAAGAAAAAAACACAATTTTATGCCTGACAAAGCCTGAATTTGTTAATACAGGGTGTGTAGGGGTTTGGATGGTCGAATGGTTAGCATGTGCACTTTGTATCATAAGGTCTGTCATTGAGTCAACTGGTATGCTTTGATTCCTCGGTTGTTCGTGACAAGGAGTTGGGTAGTCTGTCCAACCTCATGGGTTTTCTCCGGATCCTTTCACGGCTTAAGACACATGTGTTAGTCCCAAAATGACCTAGTTTGTGTCGAGTGGACGTTAAACCCCATTTCTCTCTCTCTCAAGACTTGGTTACATGTATACTGACTGTCAATACTGTACCGTAGAAGACACATATACTGCTGTGGGCATACGGTTCAACGGCAGTATCAGTTCTAACTGCTAGCAAGAGTTGCATCACTATTCTGTGGATGACTAACGTATTAAATTAAACTTGCTCTCCTGACTAACAAGGTATTTTTTATTCTTTAAATGGCCGTACAGAAGGGAGCAGAGAAAAATAAAACAGGTCTTTTGTGTTACAGAAGGGAGCAGAGAAAAATAAAACAGTGCTTTTGTTTTACAAATAAGACATGATCTAACTTACTTTTTTCTTTTAGTAAAAAGTTTTGATGTCGGTGGTTTTTTCTCCGGTGTTTCAGTCTTCTCTACTACTGCTTCCTCAACTGGTTTTTCGACATCGATCATCGTTGTCGACGTATCGGCAGCTGAATCAGTTGTTTCTACGACAACATCACCTTCAACTGCAACATCAGCCGGAGGAGCATCCGTCACAACTGTTGTAGCTTTCACTTTCTTTTTCCTCTTTTTCGGTTCTTTCGGCGTTTCTGGATCCGCTGGGTCTTTTGGTTTCTTAGGTTTTCGTTCTTTCTTTTCCTTTTTCTCTCCATCTTTTTTCACACGCTTTTTTCTCGGTTTCTTTTCCGGAGAGCTTTCGCCTTCCGTACCGTCTGTGACCGTCGATAATAACGAATCGGGATCAACCACTTTTGGTATGTCCGTTAAACCAGATGCCTGTGCCTTAGCGATCGCATCTGCTATAATTCTGTTGGCCTTTTCTTGACTTTGATTAGATTTCGTGAGGCCCGGCATTTCGAGTTTTTGTATCGGGGTAGGATCGGCATCAAGAGGCGTAAATTTATAAGGATCTAGCGTAGGAGGAGAGAGCGGGGGACAGGTTTCGGGGGTATTTAAACCCTGATGTGTAGAATGGATGGATGGTTGTGAGGTAGACGTCGGTAAAACCTGAATGGATGGAGCAAATGATGGAGTATCAAGCTGAAAAACACAAAATAAAAAACAATTTAAGGAAGAATTCTTGACTCAATAAATATCGAAAACAAAGAGAATTTCAAGATGACATTACAGTAGGTAAAACACAGTACATCCACCTACAGAATCATTTTTTATCTGTTAATGAAAGGATGACTTTTAACAAACTGGTAGGATGACATAAAGGTACAAGTATGTGTGTGTTCAGATTTATAAACAGAATTGATATGAAATAGGTGTTTAACAAGTTACGTTTTCTGCACTAACGTGGCTTATAGAGACGAGTATACTCCATGCAGCGTGTCCTGAAAACGGTTCTACGGCCGACCCTTATTTTGATTTCCAATCGTCACAGGATCACGACCTCATGTTTTGATCTCATTTGAATCCTGTCTGAGAAGTTCCAAGCAACTTTCTCTTGGTTACTCGCCAGAATAAAAGAGTCACACATATAACAGTTATTTCAATAAGTAAAGCTAATAATGCAGTGTATATCAGTGTATAGGAGTATCATTGTCTAGTATAACCATGTGAAATGAAATGAAATGAAATGGGGTTTAACGTCCTACTGTTTTGCTCCGAACTGGGCTAATGAAGACGGGCATTCGCCATACAGTGTGCTATGAGGGAAATTTTGCCCGGACAGCGGCACTACGGCCTACTCTTATATCGAATTCCAACTGTCAAGGGATCTTTTACGTGCACGCCAACGAGTACACGGGACCTCGGTTTTTCGTCCCATCCGAACGACTAGACAGCTGTCCTTGTCAGCCCCTCCGTCCTGCATCACTGACAAGGGAGAATCACACCGGAAAATCGGGATGAACTTTCTCGGCCAATGCAGGGATCGAACACCCGATCTCCAGGCTAGCGAGCCAGCGCCTTACCCACTTAGCCACCGTGATCCCCAAGTAGTATAACCATGTATAGGAGTATCATTGTCTAGTATAACAGTGTATAGGAGTATCATTGTCTAGTGTAGTGTAACAGTGTATAGGAGTATAATTGTCTAGTATAACAGTATATAGGAGTACATTGTCTAGTATATCAGTATATAGGAGTATCATTGTCCAGTGTAGTGAACCTTCTTATAAAAGTTATATTATACAATGTAATGTAACAAATTCTATAGATAATAAAGTTACATAGTATTAATTATTAATTCTACTATCATACACAATTGTGAAATAAATGAAAATATCCAAGCTATAATAGTAGTAATATTGTTATTAACACAAGGTACAATTTTATGGATACACAATTACTGAGTTGACCTTTCGATGAGGATACTCTCGTCTTCATCTAGTACATGATACAGACGAGAGTATTATCTTCGTTGAAACGTTGCTTAGTATTAAACTCAGTAATTGTGTATCCATAAAATTTTACGGATACCTTGTGTAAATATGTTCAATTACTAAATGCCAATCAATAAAAGCAATCAAAGAAGAAATATTTTTAGCAATTTATGAAAACCAACTATGTCTAGTTGTTAAGTGAAGTAAAAGTACATGTAGTAATATCGTTATTAATTTATAAAACCTAACAGCTGTCGTGTCAAATCATGGAGTTCCGTGACCATCTACAAATTTATTACGCATCAGTTACATGTATATACCACTAACACAATTGAATCTTCTATTTGGAAACTCTTAATCTTAAATTGATTGGTTACCAAAAAATAATGTCTGCTTACAGTAAGTGAGCTTTCAGAGAGATAAACAATGGTTATTATTCAAGAATATTTCAAACATAGATGCTTAAAATTTCTAAATTATCAATAAGTAAGATTAATGACAATAAACTATATTCTGATTCCTAACGATTTATTTCTGCTTTATGCCAAGTTTGAATCATTAGAAATACCAGACAGCCAGCCTGCCACAAAACAAAAGAAATATATATCCAGTATATTAATGCCAACTTCTGAATGCTGGTTACCAATGGTTACCATCCTAAGATAGAAGTTGAACTTAACACAAATAAAAATTAGATACAATTTAAACAGATGTTATAAATGTGTAAGATTCTATCTGAGTTGTAACGTGAGACGAGAGTAGATTATAATATATATATATATATATAGGAGTGTTGTTAATATACATGTATATATTTTATTTCCTTCTATCTTAATATATGACCTTTTACAGAAATGAAATGAAATGGGGTTTAACGTCCTACTGTTTTGCTCCTAAACTGGGCTAATGAAGACGGGCATACACCATACAGTGTGCTATGAGAGAAATTTTGCCCGGGCAGCGGCACTACGGCCTTCTCTTATACTCTTATATCGAATTCCAACTGCCAAGGGATCTTTTATGTGCACGCCAATGTGTACACGGGACCTCGGTTTTTCGTACCATCCGAACGATTAGACAGCTGCCCTTGTCCGCCCTCCGTCCTGCATCACTGACAAGGGGAAACAACGCCGGAAAATCTGAATGAACTTTCTCGGCCAATGCAGGGATCGAACACCCGACCTCCAGGCTAGTGAGCCAGCGTCTAACCCACTTAGCCACATGATCCCCCGACCTTTTACAAAGAAACATTACAGTCCTGATGCACAATTCGTTAAAATATTTCTCACAGCTGAATCAACAGCTAATATGTACGCAGATTATTTAATATTTAATGAAGAAAACAAAATCAAAATATCAACGCTAGATAATCTTTCAGATTGGGAGAAAAGAGAGAGAGAGCGAGAGAGAGAGAAATGGGGTTTAACGCCCACTCGACACAAACTAGATCATTTCGGGACTAACACATGGTTCAATTTTACTTCAATACTTCGCTTGCGCGTAGGGGTCTTTAGCAGTGGGAGGAAATTGGAGGACTCGAAGAAAACCCATGAGGTTGGACAGGCGACCCTACTCCTTGTCACATACAACCGGGGAATCGAAACCACGCCAGTTGACTCAATGACAGATCTCATGATACAGCACGCACGTGCTAACCATTCGGTCATCCAACACCCACCCCCCCCTAAATTAATGAGCATGTCTAATATCTAGCATGATAACAAATTATTCTAGCTTGAAGAGTGTCGTCACCTCTTTATGTATCAACAGAACAATCGACCACATTATATAATCATATATAGTCATAAAAACCTATCCATGGCCTATGGTTGATATAATCTTTAGTCAGAAAAAATCTATAGGACTGTAGTCAATATACAGGTAATCTTTGTAGGATATTCAAAAGTAAGGAATAAAACAAAACACAATGAATTATATTATGGATTATCACTGGTAGTTACATCTCACAATCAACAACCACCACATCTATCTATGGATTATATCACTAGTAGTAACATGTATATCTCACAGTCAACAACCACGACCATATCTATAAACATACACAGTACAATTCAAGAGACAATATAACGAGTCACGTCACAGGCCTAGCTTTCTTTAACACAGAAAGAATTCCTGCTTTATAAATCCACAAAAATTTAAATGATAAAATGAAGATTAACTCACAGGCCTTGTATTCCATAAGAGAACCAAATCCTTTGTTTTGTTTTTAATTTTTAAGATACATAGATGGTTGGTTTTAATGTCTGTTTCCACCAAGGATGATTAAGTTACACACATGACCAGGCTTTATAAACATACACAATACCAGATCAGGAAATTAATTACACAAAAAGAATTATCGAATAATTTGATCAGCTATCGTGAAGTTTAACATCCACTTGTATTGAGTATAAAATCTAACAGATAGACTTAGAACTAAACAAAGATATCCATGATCCAATAATTTGATCACATATTTAACATCCACTGGTATTGAGTATTAATCTAACAGATAGACTGAGAACTAAACAAAGATATCCACTAGTTATAAAATGTTTCAAATTAAACAAAGAAATGTTGCTATGATGGTAGTTCACAGCTTGATCAGGTCATGGTGTAGTACAACTGACACATGTAAAAAAATCAAACAAATAAAAAATCACTCAAGCGAAACATCATCTCAATCAACATCTCATAACCTGAATAGTTCACAATTCTCAACAAAACATTTAACCTGAGTAGTTCACAATTCTCAACAAAACAATTTTTTATCCATCCCTTGTACACACACATCTCATAATAAAAAAAAAAAAACGTCTATTTATTAGAAAAATCAATTTAAGGAAGGTGTTATTTAACAACTAACATGTGCGTAAAAACCTCACATTTAAATAATTTGACGTCTTAATGATTGAGATATTATTCAGGTCAAATAAGTCTTGTAATAGAATCAACAAAATACATGAGTTAAAATACAAGACTGGATCATTACGTGGCACATGCCCTTGGATATATATATACCGGAATAGTCAGGAATAAACAATCTCTATTTAGTTGGTAATTAACAACCAAATACCAGTATTTACAAAGTTCATAACAGACTATGAGTTATGCTCCAGAATAAAAAAATTGTATACTGATAACGATGTTTCCATGGAAACAGAAAATTATTAAAAGCATGAAGATTGTAATTAGCAATAGTACAACCAATGTTGATGTGTGTAGAAAATTTTATGAACATATCTTGAATGGTTTAATAAGATGTTCAAGAAACAAATGAGTTTAAGATCCTATATTTCTGCACCGACTGGGCTATTGAAAACAAATCAGAGAGAGAGAGTCATTTCGGGACTAACATATGGTTTAATTTTATTTCAATAATTCGTTTGCACGTAGGGGTCTTTAGCAGTGGGAGGAAACCGGAGGACCCGGAGAAAACCCACAAGGTTGGACAGGCGACCCTACTCCTTGTCACGTACACCCTTCTCCATGCCAGGTCATAAGGCCTGCACCACGCACAAGGGAAACCAAGCTGACGTGACATTTCATTTATGAGCAGTCACCGGATTAGAAATCCAGCGCTTTAACAAGACAATTTTTATTAATAAAGCAATCACTGAGAACAGTTACAATCACACAGAGAGAGAGGGAGAAAGAGAGAGAGAGAGGTTGAAGGTCTACTTGACATAATTTTGGTTCAATTTTATT